TATCAATGGTGAAATCACCATGCTATAAACTGGCTAGATGGTTGGCCCAAAAGCTGGGACCCATTCGGAAAAAGCTGGCAGCTCACAGTATCAAAGATTCCTTCCAGTTTTCACAAGAATTAGATCAACTCGATATTTCAGATAGACTTCTCGTGTCATACGACGTTTGTTCACTGTTTACCAGCATACCCATCGAAGAAACGGTAAAAATCATATGTCAGCAGTCCGAACTGCTCCCTCTTCCAGAAAATGAGCTACGCAAATTGCTACTTCTATGTACAAAGAATATTCAATTCCGATTCAACAATCAGCTGTACCGGCAGATTGACAGGGTGGCTATGGATTCACCTCTGGGTCCTGTTCTTCCTGACATATTCATGGCTCATCTTGAACAGACTCAAATGAAAGAAGAAATAGAAAGAACCACATATTACTGCAGATATGTCGACGACACGTTTGTGGTCTGCAATGATATAGAACACGCGTCCACAATGTTTGAGAAACTCAATGCGGCCCATCCCAACATTGCATTCACAATTGACTACGAAAGAAACAACCAGTTCCATTTCCTAGACGTACAACATAAAAAGAAGAAACGATGGGACGATTCAAAAATCTGTCTACAGGAAAGAAACTTGGACTGGTCAATACTTACATTATCACAGCTTTTGCCCAACCAGTTACAAACGAGGTCTAGTAAAAACGGTCTTCAACAGAGCCAAAGAAATATGTTCAGAAGACAAGATTGAAGAAGAACTTGCGATCATCGAAAAGAACCTTATTGAGAATGGATATCCTCGAAAGTTGATATTAAAGTATAGAAATGAAGAAGCAAACAAACCGAAACCTGACGCCGTTGAAAAGAAACCAGTTTTCATCTGTCTAGCATACAAAGGGGAAGACGTATCCACAAGAACACAAAAAAGAATCACAGGTGCATTAAAAAGAACGTTTCCAGCCGCCAGACTGATCCTATTTCACAACACTGTGTGCTCGTTAACCCAGTCAAAAGTAGATGAGTACCCTACTCACGTCAACTCCAACTGCATTTACCAATTCACTTGCACTTGGGGAAGCAAGTACATAGGAAGGACTGAGAGGACAGCATCTACTAGATTTTCTGAGCACATTCCTAAGAGTCTCCGTACAAAAGGAAGAAAAGTGTTATCAAGTGCAATCGCCAGACATCTAATTGACACAGGACACATAGTAGAAATCAGCCAACCCTTGAAAATAATCAATACACAAAGAAACCCATGGCTACTTCGCTTTGCAGAAGCCATTGCTATCAAGAGACTTCAACCAGACCTTTGTATACAGAAAGATAGTGTGATTAATCTTTCACTACCTTGGTAACCCTTACTCTATTTTATTTTATTTTTGTTTTGCCTTTCTGTCAGTATGCCTGTGTGTTTGTCTTGTTACGCAACATTCTATTCAATTTTGACCTTCAAGTTTCTAAATCTACTTAATTGTTTGTCTGTTTAAGTTAAAAATGTTACTTCACTATTCACCCCCACCCTCTTAAACTCTCCACCACAAGATGTGTAAATTCACTCTGTTCTCTGACCCTGACCCTGTAATATGCCTCTAACCAATCTGTGTTGTTTTCCACCAATAGAAATCTGAACTCTTACCCCTCTTATCTAATTCCACTATATATAATTAGTTGTTTTTGAGACCGAATAATCTGTCTACCTACATCAAATCCTGGAATTATGTTCCTTATGCCTTCTATCTATAACTCAAAGTAATTATGAAAAAGTATGTTCCACAACTTTCTTAAAACCTATAATTTGATTTTGTATGCAGTTGATGAGAATCCACGAAATAAAACGAGCTCGTATTATCCTGCACAGATGTTCGTTCTTTCCCTCTTCAAACTAATAAAGGGAACCGGTTGCATGAAATATTTTTCATTGATATTTAGATACTGTGGAAGTCAGATACAACTCTAATCCCCAGCGTGGTGTCTTATAATCGCACTTTGCTCCTAAGTTCGAGATTTTGTTCAGAAATGAGTTCATTACTGACTGTTTCTATAACCTTGTCTATTGGTATCACTCTACATAAACTGATGATATTGAAACTGACCATTTTTCTCTTCAGTTCGTAATTTTTATGGCTAATATATTAGACCAACCAAATGACAGTCAGCTCATGATGAAACCCTCCATGCAATCAAACCAAATCCCTACAAAACCAATACTTGCAAATTTTTAAAAGTATTTATGAATAGCACTCTGAGGTTCGAACTGAAACGTGTTAGATCCAAATATGGGTAAGAATACTATATTACACATAGGCAGACTTGTTACTTTCTGCGTACCATGAATGATAAGGAAGGTTCGCCCTGAATTCGGTTGTCAATTATTACCACATAGATAAAATCCAAGCTAAATTTAAGACTATGCAGAAATATTCGTTGAAGGAGCTGACACATTTAAAGAAACAAAAGGTGTAGTTCATTAGGATTCAAAATATACAATGTCATCTGTGATGTAGACGTGATATCTGGTTGTGGATCGAAGGACGTACATACTCAGCACCAATCTGCTCTATCCTCCTTTATAACTGTAAGACGTGGCCATTAAAATTGAAAGATATGAAAAGTCTAGCCGTCTTTGACCACAAATGTTCGTCCTCTATCTCTCATAATAAGTGATGTAATGCAGTGAGTAATATTCAGGTAAGGCATAAATTTCTAGGTAAGGTTGAAAAGCTACATCGACTAGGACAGTTAGGATATATGTTTCAGATGCCAGACCATCGCCTTTGTGTATGGGCAATGTTAACCGACATTGAATTTGGTTGGAAAAGATTTAGGAGTGGTCAAATCAAAACTGGCATCAAATCTTTGAAAGTTGCTCAGAGCCACGTATTGAGGTGCAGGCTGTCTGACTGGAGTCCTCAGAATGCTAGGAACCAAGTGCTGGAGACTCTTATTAATATGGCTCAAAATTGATGTAAGTATAAAACTTGGGCACTGTGGTGCAGCACAACTCTATTATGGATAAAATTTCATTTTGATAAAATCACACAATGTTATACAGTAATATTTACTGATGACCACACTTCGAGCCACTCATTATCATATCAAGGCACTCACTCACACAACTTTCCTGCTTCATTTATATGCATGAGTAAACATTGATGATTAGACATGCGAATAAAAATCAACATAAGATAAATTACATTCGGAAATAATAATATAAGTGTTATCAATCAAATACAATCAGTTGGGAAATAAGATGTCTTTATAGTAAACTAAATAAATAACTTGTTAGAATGTTATGATTTACATGAATTGAAATAGAATTTTAAGATTATTTATTATCCTCCTCTGATTTGACTGGTTGTAATAATATCTTCCATATCTCTAGTATTTGCATTGAGTCACTTCTATTGCATGTGTTGTGTTGGCTGTAGACTCGATGATCCGGGCAGGATTCAGCATTCAACCACCTCTCTCTCCACTTACCTACATTACATTTTAAAATTTTGGTTCTGTCCCATCCACCCTATTATGTGGTTGTGTGTTAATGCATGCAGTGCAGTGTAGTGCTGATCTCCTATCTAAGTAACTTATCTTCGTCGGATCAATCATTCTAACCTAAATCAAATTCTTAAGTTCTGAAAATCTCACTACACCTGATCTACTAGTCTGACCTATGTAGTTGACTTAATTCACAATCATTGCTAGGTATTTTGTAAATTATATTATTTTATTGGTTTGTCAAATCAGAGGAGGATAATAAATAATGTTAAAATGCATTCAATTCACATTATAACATTCTACCAAGTTACTTATTTTTACTATAATAAACATCTTATTTCCCATCTGATTGTATTTGATTGATAACACTAATATTATTTCCGGATGTACTTTATCTTATATCGATTTTATTCAAATGTCTAATCATCAATGTTTACTCATGTATATAAATGAAGCAAGAAAGCTGTGTGAGTGAGTGCCTTGATATGATTATGAGTGGCAGTAATTTGTGCTCGAAACGTGGTGGCATCAGTAAATATTACTTACTGTATAACTCCACTGTGTGATTTTACCAAAATAAAATCTTATCTATTATGGAGTTATAGCTCAAAATTGTTCTTAATGGGGCAGATGTATTCATTCTTTCAGATCACCCAGATCTACTAAATGCTCATGTTTGTCATGTTACTGCTCTTCCTCTTGTACATTTCTAATCATCAGACGTCGTTTGAATCTCTTTCCCGCACCCCACCCCTCTTTTCTCCACGTTTAAATGGCTACTTGAACTTCTGCACTCTATATTGAAACTCAATGATCAGTCAAGAAGTAAAATCACAAGTGACTTTTAATCCACCTTCAATGAATACATAACGAATGATCACACTAAATTTTCATGAAATAGAGACAGATACCACAGGAAGTCCTAGACCTACGTTTTGAGCTTATTAATACTCATTAACAAGTTGTATTTGTAATAGCCAGATAAGTCATGTTCGGTTGGGTAACTACAGTAGTCAAAACTCGCATAAAGGCTGCCTAAACTGACGGTTTAGATGACAGAGTTTAAATACACTAAGACCAGATGCATTCTTCTGTTTCCTTTGAAATTCCGCTGGAACATAGTGCTCCAAACTTTCCACCTTCAGTAGAGGTGGTTTCGTTGTGTTTTTTATGCGGTACGATTGCTAGTCTCGTACGAAACCTCTCCTCTTTTCCGACCTATCTACCAACCAGTAAATTGGGCCCAGTTTATGAGTGCTTCTGTAGGGAGGTAAATGTCGTTGACGACCATTCCATCATTGATGTCATTTCACATAGATAACTTTGTCCTCATAAATAATTAACACTTAACACCAACGTGTATGCACGCCTACATAATTAACATTTCTTATTTCAAATATTTATTGAACTACGCTGAAGGCGATATCAGTAGTATACTCAGAATTCATAAAAGAAAATACTGTAAACACCAAAAACCCAAAACTGAAACATTTATTTTATGAATGTATATTATTAACATCATTTGTTTTTTAAAAATAAATATTATTTCTCAAATAATACTTTATACACAGCAACAAAATGATTAAAACCTGATCGGATATTTAATCGTACATGACGTAGGTGGGGGTCATTTATTGGTAGCTCTGTGATTTGTAAATGTCCATCTGAATAAGGCAAAGACAATTCGGATTTTAATTCAAAGTTTTCTGCTTCTGTATGCGAACTGGTTTCAATCTACAGTTTAAAGAAATAAAAGAAAAATGAACATTTACATGTAGGTTGGTAAAATTTAAGTAAACTTGTAACAACAGAAGGCAAGGGTCAGGCAACAGATCATTTATTAAGGAAATCACAAAATTCCACAAAAAGAAACATAAATTTACAGTTTTCAAGTATTAATTTGTACGGATTAATATCGGTTGGAGAAATACTGAAAACCAGAAAGTACTGGAGAGCTATTTAGTCCTAGTTTGAGACTCTTTGAAGCCACACTGCCATCAGTCACCAGAGGTCGAACCTAGGACCTTCACAGTTAAGAAGGTGCACCCATTAGCCATTCAGCCAAGGAGATTAAATCCAATTGCCCATGAATTCTAACTTTTGTCAGTTTGCGATTTCTAATCGCTGCAAGAGTAAACAATAGACACCAAAGTCAAATGACCTTGAATAGACCAATCAGACAGCTCAGAACTACAAATGGTTGCTAATCATATAATCCTCGTTGAAAATGTCTCCTAGATTTGGTTTTTGACTTCTCTGTGGAAAATGTGTTGATAGGGTGGAATAAAACGTGCACACGTGGAGGGATAATGACTCTGAAATAGTATTGCCGGGCTATTGATGGTTATACTTTCCCATGCAACCACTTTATGTGAGGAAGTCTGTATAAATTGGTAAGTCGAACATAATTGGTGATTTTTTAGGCACTTTCTTCTCGAAATCAAAGTACTCACTTAGTAATAAATTGCGTATATGAAACCAGTATCTGCTACAGTTGGAGAAATAGAGGATACATTCATTTGATATTTCAATAACCAATTCTATGAGAATCTGAGACCAGTTTTTGCAGCATATTAGAGATATATACCCAATATGATTCATTTTTATTACATATATATCGTAGATAGATTTCTTTGTAAATTAAGTACCACTTTCCACCTAGAAGAATCTGATTGGCTGTTTCAAGATCGTCTGAAGTTGGTGTCTATTCTTTACTGTTGCTCGCCAATTGAGACTAGTGTCTATTTTATTGACAATGCTAAGAGATATGATGATTAAATAATTACATTTCAATTAAGCACTATTTTAGCCCAAATATCATATGAATTGCAAGTACATTTTTCTTATTCCTTAGCGTTCCGAATGGAACACAGGAAATCAAGCCTAAACTTTCGAATTTTCAGTAGCGGTGGTGTGCGTTTTACGGTATGGAGTACGGTTATAACTCTGTTGCCAATTTGTTGTAGCTGAACTGAACTGAATAAACCCCATCGCTACTTGGTTATGTTTTTAATAATAATAATAATAATCTACTTTATTCCAAAAACAGTACTTATAATACAGAATGGAATTTTCAGCATTTGTCACAATATTGCATATGATTTACTCAAGATATGAATAAAATTAAAACAAAAGTGACCAGAGGAATTTGTCCACCTTTACGGTATAAAGTCAAAAATATTCGAAGCACGAATTGAGATTATTAAATATAATAATAATAATAATAACAGCGAGTTTGTTTCAAACAGTATTGTCGATTCAGTTTGAAAATTTCAGCATGTAATAGATTATTGAATCTAATGTTCTGTTGATATAGTATAGTGAGGGGAAATACAAAATTAACAGTTATAACACAGCTTAAATTATGTCCACACTTATGAAAAAAAATAAACAAAAACAAAAGATTGAGAGGATTATAAGAATAAGAAATACAATGACAATAAAGTTTGATGCTGTAAAGGTGGAGGAAATGGTTTATTTAATAGTGCAAAGAAGGTTAGTTAGTTCATGCCTGACACTATTTTCATCACATAAAGTACGTGCTAAATATGGTATAGTGAAATTTTTATACTTAGATGTACCTGCATAAATTCTTCTGAAAAGACTTCTTGTTTTACCTGAGGAGACACAAGGTTTGAGCTGCGGGTAAAGTGGATGCTCACAGTCTGACAAAATTCCTTTAGCAAATTTGTTGCATGACATCAAGTGCCTATCAGTGACAATGTCAACGATATGGCCCAATGGGATATCACTCGTTCTGCTGACAGTCTTTAGAGTTCTACGAAGTATGACATAGTCTTTTGCGCCTGATAACTACTATAACGGTAATGAACTCGACTGGTACGCTAATAAGTCTATTTGTCCGTTGTACCTTCCGATTTACTGAGCCACGCAAATATCAAGAGACAAAGGCTGGCCTGTGACTGTAAGATATTGTATTGTATTATACATCTATAAGGAAACAAAAAATCACATCGATATTTTTAATTTATCACAATACAGTTGGCTCACAACCTTGAGAATGAACTGATCTTATCGACTGGAAATGTCTATTCTGACTAGTTGGTGATCTGACAAAGACCAAAGTGAGACAAAAGATGGCGATGAATTGATCTCACGCACTAAATCACAATATGCGTGAGAAATGATACATTCACATAGTAACTCCATCACATGATAAATCACACAATTAGTGAGAAAGGATGATATACTACTTTATGTTGGGTCCTATCAAGTACCTAGACTCCAATTTCAACCTTCCTATTATTTTAGACCTACTGATGGCTGGTGAAGTAGACGACGGTTATCAAACCACCCATGTGATTGGTAAGCATTCTGTCACTGAACCATTGACGTACTCCATATATTTAAATGTGTTCATTATTCATCGTACATGGATATGCAAGCAGAGATCGATCATTCTGATTCATTAAGACACAAATGACAAAAGAAAAAGCCAAGATTTCAACAAACAAACGCTATATACTATTTGAACAAAGAGAGAAGAAACATTGGCGTTGGTTCTCATCAGCTGCGCACAAAACCTGAATTTTTGTTATTAAAAATAAATAGTGTACAATTTTTTTAAACAAACCTTTGTCCATTAGCAAGCATAGTGTCAGAGCGTTATAGTAAAATAAGACATTGAGATTTACAGGGTGTTTTAAGTGTCACGACATTTATGTATATATCTTGGTAGAGAGAAGTTTCTTGAAAAAAATTGGTTAACAGTTGTGTTGTTAGGGTGGTAACAAAAGAGAATTAGCAACAGTTACGTAACTAGATAAGTGAAGATCAAAATTTTTAAAATTTCGGTGCACATGAGGTCAGATGAGAAGTTGATGATGTAATACAGTGAGCAGAACTCAGAAGATCAAGAAAAATTATCTCTTAAGAGAGTCAAACGAAACATAAAGGGGAGGGGTGGAGTGAAAAGACAAGTTAACAAAATTAGAAAACAAAGAGTTACTGAGAAGTCAGTTACCAGGGTAATTGAAGTCCAACGACGGATTCTTTTTGGACACATAAGTCAGGCTCAAATCGTTTTATTGTTATATCTTCAGCAAACCTGAGAAGACTTGAGGTAATTTGTCTGTTAATTATTTTGAATGATTCCAGCACATCTACTCAGTGTCCTGTGTCAATCAGGTGTTTGGCGATTGAAGAGCTTAAACAATTCGGTCCCTTTAACCGGAGGCTCCTTGGTACATGTTCACAGAATCTGACGTAGGCCCTCCTGTCTGTTCTTCCAATGTAACTGCTCCCACAGATACATGTGAATTGGTATACACAGTTGGAGGTAACATGTGAGGGGTACTTGTCAATCTTTGACTGCACCAGTGAAGAGGTTGTTCGGGATAGAGAGACTAGTAACGCTGCAGGATACGTCCTAGACAGGGCTGCGCTTAATCTTTTATTTATCATTCTCATAATGTCGTCGCCCTTGTAGTCGAGTTTGATGAAAATAGGCTTCTTACTAACTGTAGCAGTATCAAGCTTCTTGAGTTCATTCTTGCCATATTTGTTAATGAAACCTTATTGGTAACCACTTTCTTTCAAGCATTTTTCAAGAAACATCAGTTCACTGTCTAGTTTGTTTGGTGAACATATTCTCTTCGCTCTAGAGAAAAGCGTTTTCACCAGCGTTCGTTTGTATCTCACCGGGCAGAAGCTGTTGAAATTCAAGTAAAGACCACTCCATTTTTAATAACAAAAATTCAGGTTGTACGCAGCTGATGAGAGCCAACGAAATAAAATGGATCAAGATTATTCTGCGCCAATGTTTCTTCTCTATTTGTTCAAACTATATACTATTGATTGATTGGGATAATACTACTCACATCAACTAGCCAGATAGAAGTGAGCAGACCACATATTATGATCTGAATTATTAAGCTTTTCAAAGTTAAACCATAGCGAAATTTCACCTCTAACTGTGTAGACTGAAAATTTGATTTCAGTAAATAGTTGAAAGGTCGAGTATTTAGCTCAGTTTTGATAAAATAAAAATGATTTCTACTCAATGCTTCATATTGATCATTTTTAAATGCATCTTTGCATACGTTTACAGGTTTAATCAAGAGCTGACATCAGTTAGAGGACCGTCGGAAATCCGGCAGTTGTCACACCCGAGTTTATGACTTTTCAGCAGTAAGTACCCACCGGGTTTCGAGTCCAGGACCTTCCGGTTACAAAGCGAGGCCATAGACCATTGAGCCAATGATACCGGATGCAGTGACCCATGAATCCCAACTTCTTTCAACTCCAAAGGTTCTTTAATTGATGTCAGCCAGTGATCGAACCAGTAACCAATCAAATTCCTACAAACCGGCACTAAAAAGTCGCTTAATGTTACATCAACAAATAATTGAAAATGAAGGAAAGATATTGGCGACAAATTTTGCGCTCGTAATTTTTCTGTTTAACATATATGTATCATGAATAAATACTCCAATAGGGAATGTTAAAGTTGGTTACTGGTATTTTATTTTTCTATAAAAGTCAGTTATATAACGAAGTTTCAAGTCTACACGAAGCTAGTGAATTCGTTCTATCTTCTTTTACAGATGAATAAGGAACAAGACTCTGATTTTCAGTATGTCAATATCAGGTGTTCAGCAAGGATAAACCATAGAGAACCATGGCGACGAGTGAATCAAGAATCTATCACACAAAAAAGTATTCAGAAGCAGATCGTGATGGATTAAACAAACACACACTCACCACACAGAGGAGATCGTTGGATAACATCACGCGACAGGCAATCCCTCCAGTAGAAGCAGAATAGGAAATGGCTAGCTGAGAGTGATATGAAGGGGAGATCATGTCAAGAGGTGATGAAAGCTTATGGTGAATCGTGAAGCCAGCTAAAAATTTCTCTAGAGAACAGAGTGGAATGGAGATGTGTTGTGCATAACTTTCAAGTAATGTTTTTTTTGTAGGGATTTTGTTTGATTGGTTGGAGGGTTTTCTTCACTAGCAACTGACTCTATTCAGGCAGTTAATCTTGGGTTCTAGTCGGAAGCCGTAATCAGTAGGGTACAGCAGGTTGAAGACAATGTGAAGTGGTTGTGAATTAGCGGAAGTTACAATTCATGGATTGGCTATTGGATTAGCTCCCGGTGGCTTAACGGTCTACGAGCTTGCCTTGTGCCCAGAAGGCCCTGGGTTTGAGCCCCATTGGGTGTGTAGTGAGGTTGAGTCCCAAACTGGGCTAACGAAACAGCTGTCCAGTACTCCCAGCCGGTTTTCCAATGGTTCTCTAGCTGATGTCAGCTCATGATGAAAATCCTCCAACCAAAAACATAATTCTTATGTGGAGCGGAACTGGAACCTGGGACTCATCGACTGAAAACTGAGTGCTTTAGCCAATAAGCCACATCTTCACAAAACATGATTCACTTTATTAACAGTTAATACTAATACTTTATGGGTATATTAAATTTCGATAGTGACAAGAGTCAAAGTGTAGACATGGTAATGTTCACTTTCGTGATATGCATTATGTTAACCAGGAGTGTGTTAAGAGATAAAAAGTAATAATAATATTTTACTTTGATATACGTCTCTTTAATGTGCATTGTGCCTAATTACCTCTGCTTGCTTATCATATAACTGGAAAAAGTTGAACTATCTAAAGAGCTGAATTATATGAAAAAAATTGAGGGATAAAGCCTTCAAGCCAATCTTTTCCTAGATTGTCCAGTGAAAACCAAACATAGTAACTAGTTAGTTGAATTAAGTCACAAAAGATCTAAAAGGAGTTTGTTTTTACAAAAAAGTGTAGAAACCATCCATTTTCTTATAAGTTCCTGTTACTTATACTGTTTTCACAACCAAACTTTTATGTCTGGAACATACACAGGGTACTTAGTGCCTACAAGCCGATAGGCATTAATGTCATTTTAAAGGAGAACTGACTTTATGTTCTGAAGTAAAGTTTAAATTAGCTTTTTGCACAACTTGCAAATTTCAGACAAAATATCTGAACAAAATATTTTTAAGGAATCTGTGTATGTGAATCGGAGTTTTTGAAGAAAAGTTCTATGTTGAGGCCATTTCCGGTCACTACAACAATGTGAAACAAAAAGTAAGCTACAAAAAAAGTTAACATACTACTAATTGCCAGGATGTTCCGGTTAGAAAACTATCGGTTTTTTGCATACTCAATAATTATGCTGGATTTTGCATGGTATGTTATAAAGCCTAAGTGCTCAAATGACCTACCGTTAACTTTATTCTATGAGGACCTAGTTAAAATTTTAACCTTACAGCAATATGGAGTCGTCGGTTCTCATACCTGAAATATAAATAACAGCTTCAGCTTTATATTAATCTAAGTCTTATTAAATAAGCGTAATCATTGTTATCGAGCAGTCCTATTGACAATCATTCTCCTAATCTGAAAATATAACCGTTCTTCGACGGCTATTTTATCAGTAAGAACACAGAAGAGACACACAGTTTAGCGACTTATCTTTCAAATTTTCAGTAAGAACAATTTCGTCTTGAACTGGTCCCATATGAAACTACTACGATCCCAGGTTTAGCAGTATGTTATACAATTCCTTCAAAAACAAATTCAGGTTATCTAGTAACACAGACTGGAAATTCCATCATATTTACATTTTCTCTCAAAAGACTGATGTATGTATATTAGTTGAAAATTGGATGCATAACTGAACCTAAATCATCGGTCTACCATTAATCATGCAAACTAATTCTCTTATACGCTCATTATTTATCCTTAAGATGTACAAACTGGTACCCAGTTTAAAACAACATCTATTAGCAAGATATAAAGAGTAGTTGAATGGAAAGGAGTACCTGGGTTTTGACAGATGTTAAATGTATGTCGTTTACATTTATCAGTCCTACCTCTTTCATCATCTACCAAAGTTATTACAGATATATGGCTGAATTTAACGAACGAAACTCCAGAAACTCGGAATCGCTAATCAGAACCAGTGTATGAGATCTTAGAAAACTTTAATTAGTGACTGTAGTTATGAGGATACTGGATAGTGTAACATGGCTAACCTTGAAAAGAAGTTAATGGAAGATATCGAATATATCAAGATGAAATGTAGCAAGTAAATCCAGTGGGATGACTGAGAAATCCAGATGTGGCGTGAAGTAATTAAACCTCTATGACTGCAAGATTTTGAATTGTAAATACCGAAAATTCAAATATTCACCATCAAGGAAGGATGAAGTGTGTCCATAGAATACTGCCTTACAGTGCAGGGATACAAGCTAGCTCAGCTTCTAATGTTACAGATAATAATAATAATCATGTTGGAGTAGAGTATCTTACCCATGGGAATCATGTGCGATAAATCGCAGAACATATATGAATCGTGCTCTGCAGACAAGTGTCTTGGAAAGTTTTTTCGATTTATCGTCGTTCGGTTTTCTGTAACAAAGGTTAGCAAACTAGCCGTAACCTATGTTAATTCACGGAATATATATCTCCTTGAAAATTCTATTTCTCTGTAAAGGCGTTCACCGAAGAATTCGAAACCACTTAATCTGAAAAGAGTCCTAATCGATAATTAGCCGGTAAATTAAGCTGGATACCAGCTTGTGTCTTCTTCCATTACGGTCAAACATCTCTCTAATATACCAGAAGTGTCTTGGAAAGTAAGAGAGGGTGATAACCAAATCATCATTTAGTATATAATAAGCTACAACTGGGTGACCTACTTTTCAAAAATAAAATAATGAAACGAGGTTTCCATTTCTCATCATATTTTAAAGAAAATGTGAAGTTACTCTAAACGTTTCCTAAATCCTCTCTGCAGCTAACGTACCAGCTTTATTGTTCGAAGTCTCCCTAATCTTAAGATCATGTTGGTACACCAACAAATAATAAAAATGAAAAATTCATAATACTATTGTAGAGCTGAAAAGACAACAAGAGATCCTGAATAAACAGATAAATTCTCATAAAACATACCCAAAGATTATTGATATTGCTAGAAAAGACTTTAATTTTACTAATTCTAGCGGGCTGAACCAGTGACACTACCAGCATTTGTGGGAACATTCCCGTAGTTATCCAAAACGAGTTGTCTTTCATATCTAACACATTTTCTGGAGGGTTATTCTCATCCAAGGATGTTGCAAAACTAATGTAACATTCATCAGATCTTGTTAAGCAATTCAACATTTTTTGAATCCAGTGGGGATTAAATCACTATGACACTCAAGGTGACAAGAAAGCTGTACAGCTTTTAGTCTTATTATACAACTTTGTATTATGCTTCAACTTTTACAAGAGGTTTTGACTTCTTTACACAAGTCTTTTCGATTCAAATTGAGGCGCTTCGGTCAAACGTTGCGTTACACTTCTGAATATGCCTAGCGTTACTAATGATTACCAACTAGGCAGTATTTTCTGGGCAAAAGTTGGTTCACACCCTTGGTGGCCATGCATGATATACTACGCTCCTAATGGGGATGATTATGTTAGGGAGAAAGGTTCGATCAGTTCATGTTATATGTCCTCTCTAATAATATAGGTCGATCACTCACATATCATGTTCAATTCCTTGGGCCCTTGGTGGAAAGAGCCTGGGTATCTGCAGTCAATCTTATTCCATTTGAGGGTAAGAAAGCTTTTGATGAGTATGTTGAAGAAAAGTTACGTACCTGCAAAGACAGATCTGTAAGTTTGTGTCACCTTACTCATTGTTTTTAAAGGAAAGAGTCAAGTTTGACAGCAAGTCCGTTTCAAGTAGTCGTGAGTTCTGGACAGAGTCTTGGAAAGAAGCCGAAGAGGCAATGAAACTTACACTTGATGAAAGGATTGAGAAGTTTGGTCGGATCTCTGTCAAACTGAAATCCAGAAGATTTTACAAAGCTGAAGAAGGTAATATAAATTGCAAATGCTCATTTTTCCTTCAGGACAGACCTTGCAAGTGATGAGTACTATCCCTCTAACTGTGGAAGAAGAAGCTGAGTCGCTAGCTAATTTTCTCAAGGATGAAATGGGCGTACGTATCGAAATTAATCCTGAATTGGATAGAAAGTGCCTTGAAGAGGAATTACGAACACTCTGGCCTACACTTGATATTCCCACAAAACGGAGATACCTGCAGGACCAGCTTAGTATATTTAATGACTCTTTACAAGTTAGTTTATTGATTGTACTATGCATTCTGACTTTTCCCATGCCATTGTGGTTTATGTTTCTATTTCTGACCCCTCAAAAATTAGTAACGTCTAATTCTTTGATTGATAGGCTTCTCAATTTATAAATCTTATTGTTCATTATGACAGGGAAAAGACTCATTTTGACCCTTAGTGTTATACATAGCTGACAGCACATATTCAGATTACCGTTATCATTGAAGTGTAGATTTCAAGCTGTCTGATCTGTTCAAAGATAGCTAATTTTCGTAGTTGTACAGACAATAGATGTCGTAAATTTCGTAAGATAATTTATCTTCGCTTCCAGTTTCACCAGCATAGCTTAGAGACAGCTTCTCACAAGAGATTTATAGTGGTGAATATTTCACTGTTGATCCTAGTAAAAGGCCCTGTGTATTGTCCATAAGTATCTAAGACTGCAAGCTACCACTGTGCAGATGTGCTGTAATTTCTAGTTGATGCATTACTATGACACCTAGATCTGCGTTTGCCTGAAATAAAGTGGTGTCCCCAATATTGTATGCTCCGATACACGTGCCCTATGCGCATGGTTGCGCTCTTTGCTGTATTCATAAGGAATATCTGTTCTTTGGTCCAGTTTTGGAGGTAGTTGAGGTCTTGCGACATGAACATGTTGTTGTCATCTTTAAAATTTTTCAAATATTTAGGTCATCCGCCTATAGAACCATGAGAGGTTTGGTGAGCAAACATAATTCGTTCGTTTAACTTGTCCAAAAAGAGTTTTAAGTTGCTCTTCACTCTGTCTCTTTCCTACGAGAGAATCCTTGATCCTCCCGAGAGGACCACTCTAGTTTTCAAAACTTCCCGGTCATATGAGCAATGTTGTGTCACTGCTCAGAACGGAAAGCATTTCAGAAATCTATAAAAACAACATAGGTAGTTTTGTTGTTGTCTCTGGACTTGATTCAGCTTTTCCTTGTCAGACTCGAGATATTTCCCTCTAAAACATGCTGTACTGTGGATAACAATTTGTTATTTTCCAAATATGTGATGGTAGTTCTCTTTGATTATTCATTTCAGTATATTGATCAAAGTGCTAGTACGACTAATAGGCCTGTAGTTTGAAAAGAAATGCCCAAGTCCTCCCTCATAGTACTCTTCCAATCATACCTCACTCTTCCATGTGGGAGGGATAACCTGAAGATGGTAGTCATTTGGCTGGCTTTATGAGTTGCCAACCCCTTGGAGAGCTTTGGGTGAAAATCGTTGTATCCCATTTATTTTCCTGTGCCTAGTTTATTTAGGTATTGGAATACAGTATCGTAGTCGATGTTGATGGGATCTATCCATTTCTCATGTGTTGCTACCAGGGCAGAAGCTACGGATGGTGGCGACTTCTATGTTAAGACTCTGGAAAAGTGACCTACCGTGACCTTTGTCAGTAATCAGGTTTAAGACCGTGTTAGATGTCTTATTTGTGTAGTTGATGTACTAATATAGTTTCTTGAGTTGTATCGATGCTTTTCGCGTTAGATGCACTTTTAATTTCATTCGTGACTGATGTGTTTCTGGTCCAGTGTGCAACTTTCTTGTTTCTGAAGTCCCAAGTGTGATAAACACTCTTTCACTTGTGTTTAGTCCTAAGTAGTCCACAAATTTCCCCTCGTTTATCCATAGGGAACAATGTTTTCGGCGCTTGAGGACAATCCATGGGATGAAGGGTTCGATTACCGGGGAATGTTGTTGCTTGAAACGACTCTATACAGCTTCCCTATAAGCTTCCAGATTTATAATCCGACACCCTGATTCTGCTGAAGAAATGATAGTGTTTTTATCGACTCTCTACACGTCTGGTAATGCTTGGATTTTGGCCCAGGATACTTCAAAAGCTTTGAAGATAAACGTGAGCACAGAGTGATTACTTCTTCCTAGGGGTGGAAGGTGTTATATAAAGTCCACGTTACTGTAGAAGACAGTGATCGAAGGTTGTAGAAGGATGCTAAGAATAACGCATCGGTTTCTTAATGTGCTGGACTTATGCCAGTGAAATGGAGGAGGAATTGTCTGTCTGTCTCTTTTCAACATAGAACTTTGCACCGATGTGCAGCAGTTCAAGTTGCCACACTCCCTCCATGTAGCACATAAAGCAAGAGAAGTAAAAAGAAATGCGAAGTAGAAGCAGTAAACAGAGATATGAGGCAAAAAGAATAGTAATATCGAAGAATAATATAGTTTTATTGGGTATTATAAGTCACAAGGAGTGGATGCATCTACGCCAGGCATTGAGAACGATTTTGAGCCCTATCACCGATTGTCTCCAACCATTGATTTCTACCGTCCCGAGGACCCCAACCAGGAAGTCTACATCTTCCTACGTGGCTGGCGTAAATTTACTGTTGTTGATTTCATTGGCTGGTGCCATGTTTTGGTTTGACCGCCGCTAGCTCTTTTCCAGCCTGACTCTATGTCAGCTACATTGCCCATTGTCGAGGAAGGCGATGACTAGGCAGACATGTTTAACACATGTCTTAACCATCTCAGTCGATGTAGCTTCACAGCCGTGTCGATTGATTTCCCTTTCTTACCTAACACTGGACGTCTAACCTCAGTATTGCTTACCCTGCTATACCACTTCACACGGGAATTGTGTAAGAGTATCAGTGAACTTCAAAATCTCCGATTATAAAGTAGTGACACTGATGTCCACAAGCCTAGTTCTTCTATGAGATAATCGTCTGCTGTATTGTCGGGACTGCGATATATGAAGATGAAATCAATGTCTTCTGCTTTACATTTTAGTCTTCAGTTTAGAAGTTTTTGTAATCTCTTTTCGTGTGTGAGAGCTGTGCTATGCAGTGTCAGGCTCTTCTTAAGATAGATGAATACTTCACCCCCTTCTGCGCTTTAATCGATCTACCCTATGCACTGTAAAGTTTTGAAGGTTAACCTCACGGTTACTGATTTCCATCCTGGCGATAACATCTGGGTTTTCTGACTTAACTCAATCCATTTATTCGATAGACTGAAGGTACTAGTGCATCAAACTATTGGTGCGGTTCGGTGCTTCTACGTTCTACCTGAAAACCCTCGATAACAAGGTTTTTCTCGTCGTTGCGATGCTATTTGTCTAACTCCAATTCAGAAAACCCTTCTTTTACAGTCTGTTGGGCATAAGTCTGCGCAGACGTAGGTACTCGATCCTTCGAAAATATGGGCATTGCTAAGAATCGCGTGTCACTTTGAGCTTACTGTAACATTGAGAACGCCAACTGACTTACTGTGCAGTCGTCCTTGCTACCGATTCCGTACAGAATACTAGTGGTTTTACCTGCTACTAACTTAGACAGTAGCTTATGTATAACTGATTCGACTTTACCGTAGGTCGTGTTTGAACCTAGCCTTGGGTTCTATATTCTCCCACCTTGTTAAGGTGATCAGCCTGTTCGAGAGATCAGGTGTGCTGCAATTGGATTTTATTGATTGGGACAACGACATCTGTCATTGGCGATACGTCATATACAGTGGTTTAGTGTCACAATTCATTGGTGTTCTTTCCGCTTGACATTTATCGTGGCTGCCTACTGTCAGTGGCCTGTATAGTGAGTTTTACTGTAGATCTACAACCTTTTGTACACCTTTCATATTAAAGGAATTAAGCATGTTGCAGACACAATCTTTCTAACAATGTTGCATCAAGGCTACTTTTGAAATTATCAATGGCTCTAACAACATTATTAATACCTGGGAACTGGTTCCTTTTCCTCTATGATAAGGAGACTTCGCGATCAAGAATCTTCAATGCTGCCTCATTAAACAATACAAATAGCCTCCTGTGCAAAGTGTGCTGTCGAACCGTAACAGTCTTTGCCCAGTTGGTGTGCTAGAGACGCTTACAGCAACGCTTGTATGCTGCAGGGATCAGGTTGGTTCACATTCCCGTGAAATTACCGAGCATAATTATCATATTGCATACCACCCTCCCATAAAGGCGCTATTTGGTAGTCATTTCATCGGTAGAACGTAAAGGGATATTACTACAGAAAGCGATGATCTTTAAAAAAATGGATGGCCTCAGTGCAAAATCAAAAGTTTTACTTAGAAACTTTCTACAAAGAAATAACTTCACAAACTCCTAAAATAAACTAACTTTAACTTAACCTTGTAATGTATAATATAACAAAAGCTGGCGAAAAAAAGTCACCTCCGTTTCAAAATTCATCGCAATTGTACCTCATATTTCGGTGAATAGGTACAATAAAACCATACGAGCATTCTAAGTACATGGAGTAGTAATTATAATTCAACTCATTCGCTATGTTAGCTGACATAGGGTCAGGCTGGAAAAGAGCTAGCGGCGGTCAAACCAAAACATGGCACCAGTCAATGAAATCCACGACAGTTAGTTTAAGCTAGCCACGTAGGAAGATGTAGACTTCCTGGTTGGGGCCCTCGAGACGGTAAGAACCAATGAAGGCTGGAGACAATTGGTGATATGGCTCAAAGTGATCGTTCCCAATGGCTGGCTGATGCAGATGCATCCACTCCCTGTGACTTATAATATCCATTAAGGCTATATGGTTCTTCTATATTACTATTCTTTTTGCCTCATATCTCTGTTTACTGTCTTTATTATGCATTTCTTCTACTTTCTTCTCTTCCTTTGTGTGCTACATGAAGGGAGTGTGGCGACTTGAACTGCTGCACATCGGTGCAAAGTTCTATGTCGAAAACAGACAGACAGATAGACAAATCAGTCGTTTACCATAATAAAATAAGAAATATTACCAATGAACTTAGTGCCATGTTAAACTGCACAACTCCTAAGCTTGAACTGAACTTACTTTACTTTACTTCGGCTATCTCCTACGGGAGGATGAGCCGGCTTCATGAACATCTCGAATCATCGCTGCCCAGGCGCGGCGATCTTATGCAAGGTTTTGCGACAGGGTTATCCAATTCTTGTTCCACAGACGGAGTCCGTAGACGGTTTGTAGCCCCAGGCACTCCATATCAGCCTTGACTGTACCAAGCCATGTTTTCAGCTGTCCACCCCTGCGACATCGCCAAGATGGTAATGGCGAGGGATTTAGAACTGATTTGACCAGATCGTCATCTGGTCGGCGCAGAACATGGCCAAACCACCGAAGGCGACGTTGTTGGACCAGTACTGGAATTTGAACTGAACTAGCCTTCAGAGTTAATAATTTCTGAAACCTGAGCTCTGCCTAACCGATGAATGACTACTATAAACAGTGGAATCATAAACGCTATATTAGAGCAAGACTATTATTATTATTTCATATCTGTTCTCTTATTTCATATATCCTTTTCAATCTATTTTCAACCCTAGATAATATTTGGTTGTTCTATTTTTGAGTTTACGGAAAAGTTCAAGGATTATTATTATTATTATTATTATGCTGTTTTTAGAAATCATATCAGATTTCTTACACTCGCTAACGACCTTAGTTAATTTAATCAATAGGCTACTTCATACCAAAATTCTTGAAAAAAATTTCACAATCATTTAGTTGATACATTTGTGAACAGGGTAACTCATTGGCTCATACTTCATATTTTTTCGTGACTCATGGCTCTTATTTATTATCATTATTATTTTTTCCTTCACGTTCCCAGTGGAACATAGGGCTTCAAGCTAGAGGCTTGAAGTTTCTGTAGCAGTGGTAATTATTTTTACAGGATGTGGTTGCTAGCCTCATACCCAACCTTCCCTCCTTGCCAGTTCTACTACTGGCTTAGTGAGCGAGGTAAAGGAGTGCGTTGGCGGCCGGGGATCGAACCCCGCGGACCATGTGCATGGTTGGCGAGCGTCCTAACCGCTGTGCCACCGACGCACATAGCTCTTATTTAGTTACTATTATATATATATATATATATATATATATAAAGTTTTTATACTGGTTTATAAGTAATTTCAGTTTTTTTACCTCCTATCCTTTACTTTTCTTTCAGCGTGTAGAAAAGACTCGTAAGTGTAAAGAAGTTGCAGCTAGTAAAGCCCAGGAATCTGCTGCAAAGTCTGCAGAAAATCGAAATTCCAATAAATCTAGCAAAGTAAGTTTTGTGCAAGTTTTTTTCTTTTTTCTTAATGAGTGCCTATGCTGTTTTGTTTTGTAGTTCACTTTTTCTTTTACATATACCTGCCTAAAGCGCGTTACTCACAGTTTTCTCACTAGGCAGTACTACTACCTTAACTGTGTAACTGACTGCTGGTATCCCTCTCTCGATTCACTCATTTCTAATAGATCATAAGATTTCAGCTGGTGTCTAGCTAAACTGTAATTTTGATTTTGATTATAGCTTGATTCCCCACGGTACTTTTTGGTACAAGTATGCAAATTTCAGCATGTAACATCGGTAGTCCAAATTTTGCAGGCCGATCATTGATACCAGGTGTGCATCGGCAGCGGATCGAACCCCGGACCATGTGTATATGGTCGGCGAGAATCCTAACCGCTGTGCCACCGACTCACTTCATAACCTGAAACCCTTGGGTTTTTAATCCCCCTAGTGATGAATTCATAATTATGGAATTATTATTATTATTGTTTCCTTTAATTTCTAGAGGAACATAGGGCTTCAGCCGTGCGTCTCCATTGCGTTCGGTTCTCTGCTAGAGTCTTCACCTGGCTCCAAGTCTGCCCACACGTTTTCATCTCTTCATATGACCTCCTCCAAGTCACCCTTGCATTGACGACCAACTCGCCGCTTCCCGTTTGGGTTCCACTCGAGCAATGGCTTGTCTAGTGATGTCACTTGATGGTTTCCTCAGAGTATGGCCAGCCAATCCATCTCCATTTCTTCCTGCCTATTTGTTTCACAATCGGTTCCTGGTTGGTTCGCTCCCAGAGATCACTTCCTGTTGCTGATCTTTTCTGGCTGGCCCTCTGATCATTGAGTAGTATTGAGCGAATGCAGCTGTTGATGAAGGTCTGTAGTTTGTTTAAGATGCTCTTCATGACGCGCCAAGTCTCTGATCCATCCGTATAGTAGCACTGACTTCACATTGGAGTTGAAAATCCGGATCTTATTTTTGATGCTGAGTGCTGTTGATCTCCACACAGACTTGAGAGTAGTGAAAGCTTGTCTTGCTTTCCCGATTCTTGCTTTGATATCCTCGTCAGTTCCGCCTGTAGTTGAAACGATGCTTCCCAGGTAGGTAAAGGAGGTTATTTCTTTCAGGTTCCTCCCGTTTATGCTGATCTTTGTCTGTTGTTGTTGCTGCTGTTGGCGGTGTTGGCCAGGATTCTTCATCACCTCTGTTTTCTCTATGTTCACCTGAAGTTCTGTCTTTGATGCTTCTTCTACCAACTTGTTGCTTTTCACTTACATATCTTTCAGTTTGTGGGAAATCAGACAACTGTCGTCATTGGAGATAGTAGGCAGCCATGCCTTACTCCCGTCTTCACTTCGAAGGATTCCGTAAGTTTCTGGTTGTGGATTACTTGGCATGCAGCATTGTCGTACAGCTGTTGGATGAGATGTATAATTGTCGGTGGCACCCCGTAGTAGCGAAGAATTAAGAGTTATGGAATTTTTAAGAGTTTCAAATCATGATTGAATGAACAGATTCTTAGTGATCCCTGGTTTTCAGCGGGTCTCTAACACACTGACACATCAGTTTGTGATGAAATCTATCTGATAATCACACTTGCCTGTAATTTTGTAAGAAGTTCCAGTATTCTACCATTCGATTGATATTTCTGCATTATGTTAAGAAAATTGTGTAATTAGTGGTCAGTTTTGTTGATTCATTCTTTTTCACTTATCAAGGTAGATTTATATGTGCTGTTTTAGGTAGTTGGATTGTTTGCAACCCTGCATTTGTTCATATTATCGAAGTTGAACTTCTGAAAAATACGCTGAAGTACTTATGTGTATACTACTTTCGAGCTCCTAGAAATATCTTCTCTTGTAGTTGGATAGCACAGGATTTTATAATAAGTTGTTGATGTTCGTAAGTTCAAGCCTTTAACAACAGGAGTGAGTGCGTCGGTGGTTCAGCGGTAGAATACTCGCTGGCCACTATGTGGCCCGGGGTTCGATACCCGGCTGATGCAGACTCCTTGTAGCAACGGCGGGAACGAACGAAGGACACACCTTTAAAGGGTCAACTGTTTCTAACGCCTTATACCCAAACTTGGTGGACAGTATAGATAATATGCTAATCGCTGGAGAGAAACCTTTTACTAGCATCACATATATCTCCTCTGGCTATTGCTAATACTTCTCTCTCCTCTCTCTCCCGACTGAAGTATGTTAGCAGCTGTCTTTCTGGTTAATCATCATGGTTCTTGAACATGAAGGTGAATTATTATAATATTATTATTGTTCCCTTGGGTTCCTAGTGGAACATAGGACTTCAACTGCACGTCTCCACTTGCTTCTGTTTTCTGCTGTACTTTTCACCTGCATCCATATTAATCCATACTGTTTCAACTTCTCTTCACACGATCTCCTCCATATCACCCTTGGACGTCCCACTCGCCGCTTCCCTTTCGGGTTCCACTCGAGCGTTGGCCTGACTCGCGATGCCACCCAGCGGCCCCCTCAGTGAGTGTCCAATCCATCTCCATTTTCTGTTGCATATTTGTTGGGCGATTGGTTCTTGTTCTGTTTGTTCCCATAGTTTCTTGTTGGTGATTCTTTCCGGCCATCTGATCTTCAGTAGTATAGAGCCAGCGAAGACAGTTGTTGATAAAGGTGTGCAACAGGCTGTTGGAAATATTCTTTGTGACCCGCCAAGTTTCTGATCCGTATAGAAGAACTGACTGACTTGACGTTTGTATTGCAAATCCGAATTTTGTTGTTGATGCAGAGTGAAGAAGATTTCCAGAATTGGTGAAGGTGAATTGGTAAGGATAAATCTATTAGATTATAAAAACAGCATGTGTTTACGTGAGGAAATAGCTTCATCATGGAAGGTCAATAGGGGGACTGTTGGGACCAGGTCGAATCCTGTCTCAATCCGACCATTCCCCATCCTAACGACTTGGATTCCACCTAGTATGAAGTGCTTACGATATAACACTTTTTAAATCTTTGTGAATGATGATTTCAATATTATCAAAGTCAATTTTTAAACCTATGGCTGATGATTTTTCAAGCCTTTCTAATTTTATTGGATTTCTCAGTGATGTGGAATATAGTGGCTCTACGGTCCGATATATTATGTCGCATCATATTCTGAGGATTTTATTTATTAGACACGGTAAGATTGTGAATCCTTTTGAATTCAGTATGTAAGACGGACAAGATTGCTGTTTAGTCTGTTTGATGTTTTAGAGATAACTCTGATGTTCCGTTTTTTGTTGTTGAGTAAGTACTCTCCTGATCTCATCTGACATATTTGATCTCTATGAAATAACAACTGTTGAGATCTGTGCTTTCCGAATTCGTTTTCGACCATGTTTAATGTTGGTGTTGGTTTTTGGTTGATGAAATTCCTTTGGATAGTCGTTTTTTTGTTGAGAATTTTGATAATATCTGATATTTCTCCTAACCTTTCCCTTTTTCATCTATTATCACTGTGTGGTATATTCATCTAAGAAGAGTTGAGATAACTGATAACTTACATTCATTATGCACACCGAGAGACACACCACACAATAAATCTTATAATTTATACAAGGACTGTGATACTTCCCGGCCACCCTGATCGAAGCACCTCCAAGCCTTTCACATGAAGTCTGATCCACACGACAGTGCAATGGACGGACCAGCGTCAGGAGCTACGTTCCCACGATTTTCAGCGACAAAAAACAGTTCTACATGTCATTCGATCCGTTTTGATTCTGGGGCCCATGTACACTACTGGTTGTAAGTGCCAGGTGTTCTCATTCACCCTTTCACTTCAGTTATGTGAGGAAAACCCCGTCGTCGCATGAAGGCAGTGATGCATAGGACTAACCTTGCAAGAGGAAGATAGGCTGTGAAAGTATGGCCACATGAGGGCGTGTCGAGAAGAATATCGAACGGGGTGTACTCACCGTCGTTCGTTCCATTTGGTTTATATGGGGAGGGGTTTGTTGGATCCTTAATATATATATTTTTTTATTCCATCACGTTCCCAGTGGAACATAGGGCTTCAAGCTAGAGGCTTGAAGTTTCTGTAGCAGTAGTGTTTATTTTTACGGGATGGGGTTGCTAGCCTCATGCCCAACCTTTCCTCCTTGTCAGCTCTATTACTGGCTTAGTGAGCCAGGTAAAGGAGTGCGTTGGTGGCTGGGGATCAAACCCCGCAGACCATGTGCATGGTTGGCGAGCGTCCTAACCTCTGTGCCACCGACGCACTGGATCCTTTATATAACTGATAATTATTCGTAGTTCACGTATTCATCACTCTCCATTGTTTTACAGATGATTTGGTGTATTGTGCTGTTATAAATTACCTTTATTTGTAACTGTTATCATTATTAATCATTCAGACAAATTATTATTGCATCAAATTATTATTATTATTATCATTACTATTATTATTATAATTATTGTTATACAATCATATTAGTAATACTGACATTCTTTCATTTATTAATAGCCTCTTTACTTGTCAATTGAAAATTTTTTTAATTTAAATAATAATCAGAAATCTGAAGTGAAAAAACGCCAACAACAACAAACATCAGAACCACAAGAATTTGATGTTGAAATCCACCGGTTAATTGTCTCACCGGCACAGTATCGTTTACAACCAGTTTGTCCTGTATGTGAAGTATACTCTGTTATACCAGGTGAAATGTTACAGTGTCGTGGTCCATGCGGTAGAATTGTACATATAAAATGTATGAAGTATAAAAGTCCACCTCCATCAGGTAGGTTTTGTGGGATACAATAAGGAATACTTTTTTTTCAATTGTTTTTCTATTCTGTTATGATGTATATTTCGTAAACTCCTATGTAGGTATAACATTTTAGTCGGAAGTTTGACTAGATGTCTTGATGCAATCGGTGGTAGAAAGGATGTGACCTAGGTTTTGTGTGTTTTTTTTGACACTCGTCAGTCTGGTGTATCTGTAATCGTGAAGGAATTCATTCCACTTGTGGGATTCGAACGTGGATGACTCAGTGCAGTCAGTGCGCTGCAGTCAGCAAAGTTACCACTAAGCTATTCGGATCCGCTATTGACCTCCTGTAGGACAAAGTGGTGTATGAATGCTTTACACACTGACTCCAATATAACTTCATTGTGAATGAATGAGGGAATAGTTCTTTTTTTAAGCTGTCATACTATAATTAAGGCACTACAACCTTAGCTGTGAACGTAGGGTTACTTGGTATGTCTTTTAAGTGTGTGTGTGTGTATGTCACACAAATTCGAAGGTATACACAGGTGAAAACCGATTAGTTGGTAGAAGAGGCTGGCATCGAAGTCAGGATTTCCAGGGAAGTGGTGAGGAATGAAGTCAATTACTGCTTTCACGATGGTACCCCTAGTATCATCGTTTCAACTACAGGCGGCACGGATGGCGGAATTGGATTTACTAAAAGCGACACAGACAGGCCTTTATTAATCTTACTTAAATCAGTGTGGAAATCTGTTGCACACAATGTAAAGAACAAAATAAGGATTTTCAGAAGGAATATCAGTGTTTACAGACTTGAGACGTCAGGAAAATTGTATTTCTAAGCAGCAACTGCTTTCGCTGAGGAAGCTCCATACTGAGGATCAGATGGTCGGAAGCCATAAGTGACAAGGAAGTCAGACGACGAACCACCACAAGGACCTATAGTATGAAAATGTATGAAAAGAAACGGTGATGGATTATTGATTGTACACACGCTGCTGAGACTGTGGAGTGAAATCACGCGCCAAACAATCCCTTGGGTGTAACCCGAATGAAAGGAAATTAGCGCTTACGGGCGATCGTGGAGCCAGCTGAAGAGACCTACTGAGCGCAGAATGATATGGTGATATGCTGCTAACATCTTATATGCCACTTGGAACTTGAGGAAATAATTTTAAAATAATAATAATATAATATTCCTATCTAATTGTTCATATCTTTATTTAACCTCTTTTTCCCAATTATTTACCTTTGTATTACATAGACAATAATCGTCCTGAGAGATTTCGTTGCCCACAATGTCTTAGTGGTGAATTCTTGTGTTCAATATGCGGTAAACCAGATGAAACAGGAACTAAGGATGGTGTCGGTCAGCTGTATGCGTGTCAGGTAACTTGTGTACATATTCTAATCAAATAAACGTTATTCTATATGTATATATTAACTCATTGTATTTTTGAGATAAATTTTATTTTATAATTGGATTCATTGAGTAATTTAAGAGTATTTTGTATTCCGAATTTTTTGAATTTGTTGGGTAATGACCAGCAGTGTAGTCCAGGATAACGTGCATTTCATCCTATTTGAGACTCGTCAGATTTGGATGTACCTGCATTTCCCAGTGACTGATGATGGTGTGTTCCCATTGAGGCTCGAACCCCAGTACCCATCGTTTCAACTGCCAAAGCGTTACCCACTAGACCATACGGTCAACAAGAGCCACCCCTTGTGCGATGGGTATCAGTAATGATTTAATTCGATTTCGACTGTGCTAGTCACCACCCACCAAGTTAAATTCCCAGAAACTTTCGAAGCATTCGCACAAGGTGCCGACATGTCATCAGAGGCCGAACACCTCGGTCCGATCAATCGACGGGAATGTTCAAATCGAATTCCTCAAGGAAACTGTGGCGGTGAAATTTTTAACCTTGAATTGTGTATTCCTTATTGTCAGTAACCAGCTAGAATTCAGTTGGATTGGCCCTGATTCAACCCTCTGAGCTGAGCCGTTTCGAGTATATTACTGGTGGTGAGTTAAGCCTAAAATAAGCAAAAATGCCTGTCCGTTGTTTCAATATATCCTCGATCTGTTTGATGTGTGTGTGAGTTCTCTCCCAACTGCCTTTATTAATCATTAGAGCATGGTGTTTACCGTATGTATTTATCAGGTTGTGTATATATTTTTACGCCCGATGGGATGGAAAGAGTCGATAAAAAAAGGAGGTTTTGTAACTTCCCAGTTGATGACTTTTATGTAATCAAACTTTGACACTTTAAATTATTTTCAAGGTTGTTAATTGTGGTAGACATTTTCATCGAGAATGCTTATCTGGATGGCCTGGCGCAATGACAAGACCAGAATCTTCATCTACTCGACCAGGAGGTTTTCAAATTCTGCGTTGTCCTGCTCATACTTGTAACACGTGTTATTTGGAGTCGAATGAAACTAATCATCATAAAACAACAAAAAGATCAACTTCTAATGAAGGACCATTTTTAGAATGTGTTCGGTAAGTTATTATGTAATTTGAAAAATCCCTTATTGAGTCATAAAAAAGAAAAAGGTGTTCAGCGAAGAGTTACTCTTTTCATTCTCAAGCTAGAGAATTATTGTTATTGTTTCCTTTAATTCCTAGAGGAACACAGGGCTTCAGCCACACGTCTCCATTACTTTCGGTTCTCTGCTAACGTTTTCACTTGGCTCCAAGTCTGCCCACATGCTTTCATCTCCTCTTCACATGACCTCCTCCAAGTCACCCTTGGACGACCAACTCGAGGGCCTGTCTAATGATGTCACTTGATGGTTTCCTCAGAGTATGGCCAATCCACCTCCATTTCTTCCTGCTTATTTGTTGCACAATCGGTTCCTTGTTGGTTCGCTCCCAGAGATCCCTGTTGCTGATCTTTTTTGGCCGTCTGATCTTGAGTGGTATTGAGCGAAGACAGCTGTTGATGAAGGTGTATAATTTGTTCCAAGTGCCCCTTCGTGACGCGGCATCCAGTCTCCGATCCGTATAGTAGCGCTGACTTCACATTGGAGTTGGAAATCCGGATCTTATTTTTGATGCTGAGTGCTGTTGACTTCAACACGGATTTGAGAGTAATGAAAGCTTGTCTTGCTTTTCCGATCCTTGCTGCCATATCCTCGTTAGTCCTGCTAGTAGCTGAAACGATGCTTCCCAGGTAGGTAAAGGAGGTTGTTTGTTTCAGGTTCCTCCTATTTATTCTGGTTGTTGTCTGTTACTGTCTCTGTTGGTCAGGAATCTTCATCACATCTGTTTTCTATATATTCACCTGAAGTTCTTGCTATCTTTGATGCTTCTTCTGCCAGCTTGTTGCTCTTCACTTGCATATCTTCCAGTTTGTGAGAAATCAGACATAAATCATCGATAAAGTCCAGATCCTCCAAGTTTTTTGTGTGGGTCTATTTTATGCCTGTTTCCTCGCTACCCGCTGTTTGTCGCATTATCCAGTCTACCGCAATCAGGCGGATCATTGGAGATAGTAGGCAGTCTTGTCTTACTCCCGTCTTCTCTTCGAAGGATTCCCATGAAGCTGGAGAATGATATCACTGAAAAGAGTAACTCTTCGTTGAACGCCTTTTCTTTCATAAATTTCTGTGTGTTTCTACTCTACACCCTCTGTATGTATGTATATATTGTCTTTTCTAAAAATTTAGTTATAATGGTTGGAAATTAATTTTTTCATACATTTGGTTCCCTTGGTTAATTTCAATAGAGAAAGAAAGACCGCATTTGCAGTATAAAATGATATCATCAGTCTATTTCACAGGTTCTCATCAGCTGCTGCAAACTACGTGAAATTACAATGGTTATAAATAATAACATTTCATACTTCAATGTTTGAAAGCTAATAGAGAAAATATTATAAGATGAACGCATATGGAATATAAGTATTGCAATTTTTAGTTTAAGTTCATTTGCCTCCCATACAAAGGAGAAGTAGTATCACAAAAGATTGAAAAGAGGATGAAAGGAGCAATAAAGAGATGCTTCCCTGCAGCCAAGCTTGTGACACTATACAGCACTACATGCTCTATTAGCCAACAATCTAAACTGGATAAGTACCCTGCTGATTTTACCTCCAACTGTATTTATAAATTTACGTGCACCTGCGGCAGCTAGCACATTGGCAGGACAGAAAGAAGGGCTTCTATCCGGTTTTCAGAGTATATTCCAAGAAACTTATGCTTAAGAGGAATCAGATATTTACAAAGTGCAATTACCAGACAGACACCTTATGGATACGGGTTATTTTGTTGAGATTTCCAAGTCCTTCAAAATATTAAACATACAAAGGACAGCGAATCTCCTACGATTTGCTGAAGCGATTGCAACCAAACGTTTCAGACCAAACTAATGTACACAGAAAGAGAGTGTAGTTAATCGCTCACTGTCTTGGTAACCGTATTACTTTCATTACACTGATTAGTCATACAAACTAGTGAGCTAAGCTCACTTAGGAAGTTTTCAATTTGATGAACTTTAACCTTCTTGAGTTGACATGTTGACGTACAAGCTAACACCGTTTATTAGATTTTTCTGTTTTCTGTCTCCTCTCACCCCCCCCCCCCGCCTTTTTCTTTTCATAGTTTGATAGCATATAAAGTGATGGTAACCTAAACTAAAAATTGTAATACTTATATTCCGGATGCGTTCATCTTATAATGTTTTCTCTATTATCTTTCAAACACTGAAGTATGAAATGTTATTATTTATAACCATTGTAATTTCAGGTGGTTTGCAGCTGATGAGGACCTGTGAAATAGACTGATGATATCCTTTTATACTGCAAATCTGGTCTTTCTTTCTCTGTCGAAATTAATTTTTTAAATCATTATTTTATTCCTTTTAGTTCTGAGTGGAGCATAAGACTTTATGCTTAAGTTTTTGAGTTTCAGTAGCATTGGTTTTTAATTCTCTAACGAGATGGAGTTGCTGGCCTTTTTTCAGCCAACCATCCCTCTTTACCGAGCTTATTACGGGGGTAAGCCAGGTCTATGAATGCGTGGGTCGGGAATAGGACCTCGGAACGTATGCATAGTTGGCAAGTGTCCTACCACTGTATCACCGATGCATAATAGTTAGAAAAATTGAGTGCAATAGGATATTTGATGATACATGTATGTGTATGCTAAGGATTGTCCTACTGAACAGGTCTCCTGTTTGTTAAGTGGTCGGTTTACAGGAATTTGGTTGGTCACAGGATTAATCACGAGCTGACATAAGTCAAAGAACTGTTTGCAAACATGGGAGAACTTGACAACTGTTTCTTCATAGTTGAGGGCTCTTCAACTGTACGTACGGACGCGTCACCTAGCCTGCTGTCGAACCCAGGACCTTCAAGTTATACAAGGCAAGCCCGTCGACCATTCACCCTATGGGGTGGAATCTAATGGTGCATGAGCTTTAACTTGTATCAATTCGTGATTTTAGCGCGACTGATACCAATCAATATCATGGAAGAATATTTGTCCTCATACTCAACCTGGTGATGACCCTCAGTGGTCACGACTTCTCACCTAAATTTTAGGCAGCTTAATGCTATAATCTGACTGACTGACTGGTTTCAACATAGAACTTTGCACCGATGTGCAGCAGTTCGAGTCGCCACACTTGCTTCTCTCCATGTAGCACAGAAAGCAAGAGAAGAAAGTAAAGAGAAATGCAAAACAGGGACAGTAAAGAGAGATATGAGGCAAAAAGAATAGTAATATCGAGAAACAATATAGTTTCATTGAGTATTATAAGTCACAATGAGTGGATGCATCTGCGCCATTGAGAACGATCGCTTTGAGCTATATCACCACTTGTCTCCAGTCTTCATTGGTTTTTACCGTCGCGAGGACCCCAACCAGTCTACACCTTCCTTCATGGCTTAAACTAACTGTTGTGGATTTCATTGACTGATGAAGCTATGTTTTGTCATGATCTTATAATCAGTCACTGGTGAGCATTAGACTAATTCTCCCAGTGTTGGTTTGTAACCTGAAGGTCCTGAATCCATCTCTGGTGGTGAGGTCATGGATGCATACTATTGAAGAGTCCTGATCTAGGATAAAACAGCTATCCACTGCTCCCTGATTTACATCGGTTCTCCAGTTGAAGTCAATTCGTGATTAAAACTGACCCTAATTAGTTACATATTGCACTCCTAAATCTCTCTCAGCCGGTAGTAAGTAAGCCTGGTAAGGGGGGGAAATTTGATGTGAAGCAATGAACCCTACTGAAACCCTACAGCTTAGGCCTAAAGCCTCTTCTCCCCCCCCCCCAACTTAGAGGAACAAAGTAGGTAATTAGTTGTGTCAGTTCTAGGGATATTTATCACCATAAATCTACTGATGAATGTACTAATTGATCTATGTTTGGTGAAAAATAGATCCCATATAATCAGAGCTACTTTTCAAAATTGAGCACTCATACAATGTGGTTTCGCAGAACAAATGTAATAATTAGTTTTTGGATTTTTACTCTCCGTTGTAATTCAGTTTAGTAAACGCTTGGCACATGCCTAATTATCAGTTTTATTAACTCCACCCTTATTCGTGTGACTACTTTTAAGTAGTATACAAATAAATGGTATAAAAATATGACATATTTCGTCAGTGATTTTTACTTTATATTCCCTGAAGTATCCTTTTATTATTGTTAATTCTAGATGTCCAGCAGTATTTCATACCGGTGATTTGTGTACACCAGCTGGTTCAGTTGAAGTTTCGCTATCGCATATTGTCTGTCCCAGACACTTTGATGACTCTCTGCAATCGTTACCAAATTTTAAAACGCAACATCCGAATTGGTGTTTCCATTGTTTCCGCCCATCAGGAGAACGTGTAAGTTTAACTTCTTTTATTGTGTTTCAAGTGGTATATGCAGGTGAATTTCAACCGGTTAGCTAAATAATTTGATGAAGTAATTGCATTTTTTTAGACTTGTATGTAGGCAAGTTTGAGTGAGTTTAGACGACTTGTAATATTGACATTAACAAGGTACTGCTCTGTTGGTATTAGATGGTTGGAGGCAATCGGCAGGAAGCCTCCGACCTAGGTTTCGTGCTAGTTGGCACTTATCAGCAAGGTGTATGTGCAACCTTGAAGGAACTCATGTCCCTTCTGAGATTCGAACCCGCGTCACCCAGTGAGTACTACAGTCAGAGACATTACCACTGAGCTATTCAGGTTCGCGATTGACCTCCTGTAGGACCGTAGTGGATATTTTTGATTGCACACTAGTCAGTCACTAGTGTAATGCGTCTAGTCCTATCTTCGCTGCAGACTGAATTCTATCAGTCAAGCTTGAAATGTGGCCACCATGCTAGGTGGCTCGCCATTACGGTTCACTGTGATTGCCGATTGCCTCCAACCATCTAATACCAACAATTCACAGTGCACCGTAATGGCGAGCCACCTAGCATGGTGGCCACATTTCAAGCTTGACTGATAGAATTCAGTCTGCAGCGAAGATAGGACTAGACGCATTACACTAGTTACTGACTAGTGTGCAATCAAAAAAGATACTGCTTTGTTTGACCACAGTCAGCCGTGTATCAGATTACAAAGAGTTGTCATCTGAAGTAATGACACCCAGTAATGTCCATCAGAGAGATTCTCACTATCCTTTTTTCTGTTTAATTTCACCGTAGATGTACTAATGGATATGACGCTAATCGGTTTTAGTGACTTAGGAATTAAGTGGCACTAGAAATTGATCAGTGGTCAATATTGCACATATAATAAGAATAAAGATAATTAAAATGATGTACTACTAAGGGGTGGAGTTGAAGTGGATGAATTACAAAACTTTTAAAGATTATTAAATAAGCGAACTGGTATTAAGATTTTAAAACTGTAGGTCGTGTTGTATAAAAAATTCAGATTACTGTGAAGATAACGGTTCAAGACAACGAAGGTGAAGTGAAGTGGAATGAATTTAAGTGGTAAACTGTTATGAAGGTAAAAAAGGGGTTCAGCAAAACGTTTTTGAACACATAATTTAGGTTTTTGTCCATGTATAGCTAGAGCATTGGCTGTGCATAAGTGGAGAAGACGTAACCTTTTGGAGTGGTTGGATTTGGTCCTGTAAATAACTTCGACGGATAAATCACGTGGGGCTGAATGACCCGTCTCCAGTAGGTGTTCACAGATTAAGGACTTTGTCGTTCTTTGCTGACCTTTTATTAACCAAACCGGACAGTGTTCAGTTACGCGTTTACGGAGAATACTCTTACAACGTCCAATGTAATCAGCTTGACACCAGCATGTGAATGAGTATATGCACATAGAGGTGGACATAAGCGATAGTTTTATCCTTGGCGCTTCATCACTTCATCAATAATGTCACCTTCGAACGCCAAACTCATAAATAGTACTGTGATTTGGCTGGGGACCGTTTCTTTCTTGATATTTCTGTCGATAAACCTTCTAGGATATCCATTATTTAAGACAATTGTGCGAAGGTCCTCTAGTTCTATGTCAACAATACCTATAGAGCAAATTTCCCGAATTCTGAAGCTTAGAGAACGGATAAGATTTCTTTTCCTATCTAGAGGTTAGTGTACTGCCCTGTAATTGTCGACTTTCGATAAATCAATCTTTTCAACGTGCCATCTTCTCTCACATTTAGCATCACGTCGAAGACGTGAAGTACGGAATTCGACTCTTCTTCGATAGTGAAAAGCGTTGATGGGTGAGAACCAATGAGTTTTCCAAGAAGCTCGGCAGTGACGATTGTCGTCACAAATAATGAAGGTGTCGTCAATATATCGTTTATAAATATGCAGACTCAAGATTGTTCCTTTCAATGGATCACTCTCTAAGCTCACCATGAGAACATCCGCTGGGAGAGGTCCTAATGGAGACCCCATCCCTTTGGTTATAGATGACATCGCCAAATCTAAACTGCTCATTAAGCGCGTATCTCAATAAAAGCTGCTTCATGTAGTCGGTTGGCACACCAATGTTTGTGCATTTTTTTTATTCCTTCACGTTCCCAGTGGAACATAGGGCTTCAAGCTAGACGCTTAAAGTTTCTGTAGCAGTGGTAATTATTTTTACAGGATGGGGTTGCTAGACTCATACCCAACCTTTCCTCTTCACCAGCTTTTAGTTCTGGCTTACCGAGTTAAAGGGGGTGCGCCGGCCGGGGATCGAACCCCGGACCATGTATGTGGTCGGCGAGCGTCCTAACCGCTATACCACCGACGCACTTTGTGCATTTTAGGTCGATATAATCATGCAGACAACAAAGAGTTTTTACTAATGGTACATTTGTAAATAAAGAGTAAACATCTAATAAAATCATATGTCCAACTATGTGTATGGTCTTCCTAAGGTGCATAAAGATGGTGTCCCTCTGCGGTCTATATTGAATATGCTGGACTCCCCTCATTATTTTACAGCCAAATGGCTCGCTGAAATATTTGGACCAGTAAAGTCAAATCTATGTAAACATAGTCGTCCGAACACTTTTGACTTCTTCAGTTGCATTGATAGAATTAATGTAGCCGGTAAGCATATAATTTCGTTAGATGTTTGCTTTTTATTTACAAATGTACCATCAGTAGAAACTATCTGTTGTCTATGTGGTTACATCAACCTAAAATGCATAAACATTGGAGTGCCAACTAATTAACCATCTGAAGTGGCTTTTATTGAGGTGTACGCTTAATGTGCAGTTTAGATTTGGCGTTTTCATTTATAATCAAAGGGATGGAGTGGCGCCATGGGGTCCCCATGAGGACCTCTCCTAGCGGATATCCTCTTGGCGAGCTTAGAGACTGGTCTATTGAAGGAAACAATCTCGAGTCTGCATATGTATAAGTGATATATTGACGACACTCGTTATTTGTGATAACAAATGTTAAACTGTCGAACTTCTTGGAAAATTTATTGGTTCTCAAGCATCTATGCTTTTCACTACCAAAGAAGAGTCAAATTCTGCATTTCACTTCTTCGACATGATGCTAAATATGAGAGAGGATAGCACGTTGAAAAGGTTGATTTATTGAAAGTCAACATTAACAGTGTAGTACACTAACTTGAAAAGTTAGTTACCTCTAGGCAGGAAGATAGATCTGTCCTGTAGACTTGACATACGGCTATCAATCAAAGGATCTATACTGTGCAACAGTTCGCTCCTTCCTCTTTTATAGATGTGACATATGGTCTTTGAAATCGGGAGATATTGAAAGGCCAGTCGTCTTTTGACCACAGATGATTGCATTCTATTTCCGGTGTTAACTGGTGTAATATTTTGAGGATTATTGAAATCAAGCGTAGAGTGCTGGGAAAAGAAGAAAAGTTCATCGATTAGATTGTCAACTGTAATTGGTTGAGATGGCTAGGACACATGCTACACATATACCTATTTACCGCCTTCATTCACGAACAATGTTAGCCGATGTGTAAGGTTGAGTTTGCAAAGGTGACTGGCCAAACCAAAACATTTCAGTAATCCATGATGTCGATGGTTACTGCTGGTTTGAGCCATGTAGGAAGATGCAGGCTGTCTGGTTGAAGTTCTTGTGATGCTTAGCAACCCCATGGCTAGAGATTATTGGTGATATGGCTCAGATGCATTAACTCTGTGAACTAGCGTATCTTTTAAGTCCTTATGTTACTATTCTTTCTCCCTCACATTTCTGCCTATTATGGTTCTTTTGAATCACTCTCTTTGGTTTATATTTGCGGGCTAAATAGAGTGTGACAACTTCAACTGGTGCTCTTCTATGCAAAGCACTATGTTAGAATTGTAGGTAGTAAGTAGTATTAGATATACAGGTGTTTTGTGTCAACATTTTCTCCCTAGTGAAGATTTAATATCCCTTACTAATAATAAATGGAATAAAAAAAAGCAGAAATGAATATCTTTCATCAGTGGTTTTCCCTTTTAATTCTGTGTGTTAACTTTTTTATTTGTAGGGGACAAAAAAAACCCCTTCTACCTTTCTGTTTGTTTCTTTTTAAAATCACAGATTGACTGTCACTACTGTCCAACTACCTATCACAAAGATTGTCTACAACCTTCATTTGGGACTTTCACTGATGACAAATTTGTGTGTCGATCTTGTCGGTAAGTTTGTTGCCGCTATTGTTGCTGTTCTTCAGTGTCCACCCATGTTCTTTTTTTCAGAACTTCCTGATAATGATTTTGCTAATAACTTGGCGTTTCAACTGTTTGATTTTTCGACAAGTTTGTGTATCTAGGCAGTCATGTGAGTGAGTGAGTGCTGGTGGAGGTGCGATAGTTGAAATCTCTAACCGCCAATTTGGGTTACGTTTGATGCCGTCGTGATGTCAGCCTGGTTGTAAAAGATCGGGTGTACAACGCTTGGGTGCGATCACTCTACCGCCTACGCCTATGAAACCCAACCTCTCCAAGTTGCGTATTCGATCATTGCTTCCTCCATAGAATTGCTTGTGTCCGTGAGCACCACTGTATGAGTTATTCTTTCTAAGGTCTGGCAGCGTGTGTTTAGACACTGTGGAGATCACCTTTCACTGAGTATCGTCATTTTGTGGAACACTCGCTTCGGTGACATGGATTTGTGCCACGAATGTCAACCCATTGGCCCCGTACTATTCGCTGTTCGCCAGCTCAAGCAGTGGGTGGGAAAACTGGGGATAGGTGGTGAACCTGTGACGTAGCTTTGTAATTCTCATGAAACTGTCTAACCTTTTGTATGCATATAGGCTATTAGATCTCGTCCCGGTGGCGTAATGGTCTACGAAATCGCCTCGTAACCGGTAGCTCCTGGGTTTGAACCCTGCCAGTGGGTGATTCCCAAACGTTTATTTCATTTGTTTGCCTAGCGTAAACTGATATAACTTTGGAAACATTTATTTCCCTATACCAATTTAAAACAAGCAACAAAAGGTGTTAGTAAAGCCTGATATTAATGAATTCATCAAATTTCGGTAGAAGTCTTCCCGAGCTCAGTACTCTATATACAAGGATATATGTATATATACTATTAGAATTACATTGGGCTGTATTTAAGACTGATAAGATATCAAGGTTTTCGAACTCAATAATATTTAAACTGATTAAAAATGTCTTTTTAAAAAAATTTTCTTCAAAAGAATGGGTACGGAACAAAGAATATTCTTTTCGATAACCTCCTCTTCATCATTAGGTTCTACAGTTATATATACATAATAATAGTGAATGAGTGAATTAGTGTTATTAACAACAGTATTGTTGTTTAAATAACATCGATTCAATAATAATAATATCAATGGATTACAGTTCTATAGCATAAACATAACACATACACTACAATGAATATCAGACAGAGAAATTAGGAAAGATAATATTACAAATTCATGAATTTATAGTCTCCACTGAAGGTCGGCCAGCGCAGTAGTATTGGCTAGCTGGCCTTGCTTCTTTTGCACACAAATCACTGGTTATTTCACGGGAATCACGATAGCCTCTACTGTTTAGAGCATGCGCTACCTCGATGCTTTTGGCGATTTATTAGGCACCTGGTAGATGATAGACAAGGATTCTTCAATGCTGGCTGGCTTTGTGGCCGGCCGGTTTGTACCAGGTGGTCTAATATCGAATGGTTGGTGATGATTTTTACTACACCTTTATTTAGCCACATTGGTAGATGTTCTCGAGTGAGCATAAAAAATCAAGTTCCCGGAGCAACGGCCAATATAACTAACTCCATCACAAGCGCAGTTGAATTGGTATTTATTATTATTATTGATTCGATGTTATTTAAACAACATTAATGTTGTTAATAACACTAATTCATTCATTCACTATTATGGATAGATGCATAACTGTAGAGCCTGATGATAAGGAAGTTATCGAGACGAATATTTCTTCGTTGACTAAATAGTATTTGTAATGGTAGTAATAACGATAATTATTATTAATAATAATAATAATAATAATGTCAAAACTTGTTAATATAATACTAATGATAAAAGATAGTTTTAAATGAAGAAGAAATGGTTATAATAAGAGGTAGAAAAAAATGTTGATAATAATAATGATAATAATAATAATAGTAATAATAATAACAGTTAATGAATAAAACATATTACCATGGTAGATTCAGACTGGCCACCATTTCCTTTAGTATACGCAGAAACCTGGTTTATAAACTCAAATTGCACAGGCCTCAGCAATTTCAAGCATCTGCCTGTTTGTTTGTTTGTCTGTCTCCTGGTAACAGTGAATGACTTTGTCGCGCGTCACAATATCACATTCGTATTCCACAAGATGCTTTATTATTTGAACTTTTTTTTAGGTACTTTGACTTCAGCTGTTCTCAAACCGTCTTGGCAAATGTTGTGTCATGCGAGAGTAGACAGTCATCTTTCTTTGACTGACCTATGCATTTCTGCTCCTACAAACACATTCAAAGTGATATCTTATCAGTCTTAAGTAAGCATGAACTAGACACGCCACACTAGTTACTAGTGTCCAATTAAAATACCCACTACAAGTCCTACAGGAGGTCAGTCGCCAGTGAGCCCGAATAGCCCAGTGGTAACGTCTCTAACTGCAGTACTCACTGGGTGACGCGGGTTCGAATCTCAGAAGGGACATGAGTTCCTTCAAGGTTGCAGATACGCCTTCCTTCCTGACTGGTGAGTTCCCACTAGCACTAAACCTAGGTCGAGCAAGGCTTCCTGCTGATTGCCTCCAACTATCTAATAACATGTATCCCTGTATGTAGAGTATCCAGATGAGGAAGAGTTCTACCGAAATTTGATATAACTGTGACCTGGTGGTGTTGTTTTTTCCTGCGGTGTAGTCTCTAGCCTCACGCGTAACCCTATTCTTTTTTTATTGGGCTCACAACCAGTTAGGCTCACATAGTTTAGGATTGCATCGGTCGCAAATAGAACTCTCATACCACTGGAGAGTAGTTACAGAGTATTCTGCTGCTGAGGCATTCGTATGAATTGGCAATGTTAGTGTTTAATACATACATACACATAATCTTTTTTTATCTCCTTTTAGACAAGGTGTATTCCCAAGATATGCTCAAATTATTTGGGCAAAAATAGCACGTTTTCGTTGGTGGCCGTGTGAAATAATCCACGCACGAAATGCTCCTATCAATATCTTAAATATGTCACATCCAGAAGGTTCTTTTCCAGTGCATTTTCTTGCCTCGGAAGAATATCAATGGCTTAATCGTGGTCGTGTATTCCCCTATGAAATTGGCCTGCAGACTCCAGCGGCTAAAGATACGCATTCTTCAAATAAAATTGAAGCAGCTTTTTCACGATGTAAGTTTTTTAAATGTAAAAGACAGAAAAGAAAACTTTTACTTTTTAAAGTAAAGGGTGAAGGTGTTTATTTGTTTAAGCATAGAATTACATTATTTTTAATTTGTGATCAGTTTATATAGATTTTTAAAAAAATTTTAAAGATTTTCTTCTAAAAATAGAGTCTGCAAGCCCAGAGTGGAAGACATGAAAATTCTGGCTAACTGTCTTTGATCATAGGTGTCTGCGTTATATCTCCCATGTCAGGTGGTATAGTAAGGTGAGCAGAATTGAGGTTAGGTTTTGATAGAGAGCTAGGTAAGGAGGTTGTGAAGTAGCTGAGTCGATTGAGATGGTTAGGACATGTGTTACGCATGCTTCCTAGTCACCACTTTTCTCGCCCGACGGGTAGTGTTAGCTGAAATAGGGTCAAGTTGGAAAAGAACCACTGGTGGTCAAACCAAAACATGGCCTCGTCAGTCAATGAAATCCACTACAGTTAGTTTAAGCCAGTCACGTAGGTAGGTGTTGACTGGTTGGGGTCCTCGGGATGGTAAAAACCAATGAAGGTTGAAGACAAGTGGTGATATGGCTCAAAGTGATCGTTCTCAATGGCTGTCTGGCACAGATGCATCCACTCCTTGTGACTTATAATTTCCAATGAAACTATATTATTCTTCGATATTACTATTCTTTTTGTCTCATATCTCTGTCTACTGTCTCTATTTTGCATTTCTTCTTACTTTCTTCTCTGGCTTTATGTACTGAGTGAAGTGTAGCGAACCGAACTGCTGCCCAATGGTGCAAAGTTTTATGTTGAAACCAGTCAGTGAAAGCCCAGGCGGTTGGTTGTCTTAATGGGCCACTCCCCCTATGGAAGTATGATCCGCAAGGAAGTAGTCAAGCTGCGTCCAGAGTGACGTTCTCATGGCTTTCGGTGATCGAAATAGGTTATATGTCATTCCATCTGTTTTTGATTCTGGATCCCATGTACACTCCATAGGTTTGGAATCAGGTGATATGACCGAGTCCATGTATACATGGATAATAGTGACACTGAACGCAATGGACACCACTGAATACTAGATACGACTATTTGTCCTTAGTGCGTCGGTGGCACAGCGGTAAAATGCTCGGCAACTACGCATGTGGTCCGGGGTTCATTCCTTGGCCGACGTACTCCTTTACCTCGCTAAGCCAGTAATACGACTGGTATAGAGGGAAGGTTGGATATGACGCTAGCAACCCCATCCAGTAAAAATAAACTCCACTGCTACCGAAACTTCAAGCCTGTAGCTTGAAGCCCCCCCCTCCTATGTTCCACTGGGAATGTAAAGGAATAAAAAAATTTGTCCTTAGTATCTTTGGCTTTACTAAGTCATACAATTATCAGAAGACAAAGACTCACCTGTATGGGTAAGGACGCATTTATTAGCGAAAAACATCATATTTATACATTTCTAATACACATGGAATTTGGCTAGGTCAGTGGTAAATAAATTGGTCAAAAGTTATACAATAGGTTCCAAGGTCATTCGATGAGGTCATCATGTCCACATAGTAAATTAAATCCAGATTTGAAAAATAAAATATACCTCTGCAACGATTGGCTTAAAACGATTTTAACCACTTCCTGTTACATCAGAGTTTCCGAGCTCCCCTGGACAGATCATCATATCCACCAGTCCTGTTGTGTAAGCTCCAAGACGGTCGCATTCGCCCTTTCACTTTTGCGAGGCACATGCAAATCGCTACGTGAATGCAGCGAATAGGACTGTCGTTGCAGAGAGAGGTAGCTAGGCTGTGAACGCTTGTCCACATGAGACGATTTCGAGAGGAAGACTAAACAAAGTCTACTCACTCTCAGTTGTACCGATCCGTTTATGAGTATAGAAATGATATCCTCAGTATCGGAAAAAGGAATTGTATCTGACGTATCGATCGGTCAAATTAACAATTCGGTGAATATACATCACTTTTATGCAGTTTCATTGGTGGCAGTCGTGGTCATAAGTGGCTACAGGACAATTAACAAAACACCCATTTAAACATGAAGTAACTTGGTGAATGGTGACTAGCAGTGGAGGAATCCAGGATGTGCGTTTCGGCCTATTTCGGATTCGTCAGATGTTTGTACCTGCATTCCTCAGTGAGTGGGTGATGTTCCTACCTGGACTCGAACCCAGTATCCATCGTTTTCAAGCACCACTAGACCACTTGGACCATGAGAGTCACCTTTTATGGAACAGGTATCAGTTACTGTTTATTTTTAATTCAATTTTGATTTTCCCTTTAATTGATTGGACCTAAAAATCCGCCTCTAATGGCCAAAGTAGTCTTGTAGATAACGCTTTGACGTTTGAATCTATAGGAACTGGGTTCGAGCCTCGGCGGAAACACCATCAGTCACCGGGGAATACAGATACATCCAGATAAAGAGTCCCAAATAGGGCAGCCGGAATGTACATCCTGGATCCCACCAAATCACTTCAAGCTATAATCCTCAAACATTATCGAAGCATTGGTACAAGGAGCTATCTAATTAAAAAAAGCACTCACTTAAACAGTTCAATGGGATGTATTTTCAGTTGCACCATGAGTGTAGTGCACTTATAATTATCAATTTATGAAAATTCATTTTTTGTGTGTAAATTAATCTTCACTATAAAGTAGTAAGTAATTATTGATTTGTACTATTCGACTCTATTTAGTCGTATCATGATTACGCTTATCACACTCTCTACTTCCACATAGAGATGAATTTAGGAAACTCAATGTAGCTATCAAAAACTTAATTAACACCGAACTTATATTCTTATAGGATTTCGAAGTGAGATAAAAGCGCTATCTATATCATCCTTATGTTTTGGTAATCAAAAGTTTCTTCACTTAAGATTTATCTATAATTATAGTTACATGGTATAAATTTTTCATTCACTGGACTCTATGTGAGCAACACTGAGTTCATGATCCTAGCCAGTAGTTGCCTCAAAAGGTTAAAGTCTTAGTTAAGATTGGGAGTTTAAAAGTACTTAAAAGCTAAGATTGTATCACATCTACACAGATTAATCGATTAATTGCAAGGGTGTATGCCAACGTCTGACGCTTACAAACGGATTGGTGGCCATGATGCCTTACCTAGGTGAGCTGGAGAACACAGGGGCTGCAGAATCCGATAGGATCCCATTCTGTATGTACCTGTTTTGTTTATCGAATACCATGGGAACGTAGCTTATGTCGCTGCTTCACTAACTTGTAGATCAGATTTCAAGTCGGTGACTGAGCTGTCAGACCCTTAAGAGGTGAAGTCAAAGTATCATAGTCGAAATCGCAGTGACCGTAAACAACCAGTCAGAATTTAAATACAGAAAAGTAGCATAATCGTTAAGAAAAATGTATTAAAAACGTTGCAAACAGGATATCACACTGGATGGTGTCCTCTTGTGTGTTGCGAAAATGTCTCCCACGGAGAGAGAGAGCTTACCATACGTGATGCACTTATTTCAAGTACCCAAACTAGATTAGCCCTTTTGTCTCTTCTGTTACCCTTCCTTATCACGACAGTTTCATCAGTATGAATAGTAATTTCTACTGCATTAAGGCTAGTGTTAATCCTCTCTAGCTTCCATGATGCTAAGTGCTCTACAATGCTGATACTGTTGTACTGTAGAGACGAGGTTGTTTTCCGTCTTCTCTGCTGCTCCCCTTGCAGGCTTTTGCAAAATTCAATAATACATGAACCGTAGGATGGTCTAACAAAGAAAGTTTAAATTTGTTGGAAACGCACTTATGGAATTAGCAAAATACTGTACCTACCCTCACGAACGAATTCTCTCTTATAGCATGAATTGCGTATTTGGCAATATTTATCTCCCCCAAGGTTGTATTGCCTTATTGTTAAACTCTCCCTCCGGGCCTTTCCCCCCTACACACATACAAGTGTTTGACTTCAAATAATGCGTTATGGACATAGTAATCTAATACTCGGTATTCGTGGAACTCATTCACTGAATCCATAAAGACAGGCATAGTTTGGATTGGGCTGACGTTTTGTAGCTTGTCCTAAATTTGATTGGCTCTTGAAAGTCATTGTTTGACAGACTCTAACTTTAGCTATGATACTTTAACTTCGTCCCTTAAGACAACCACCTGCTTCCTTAGTCTGGATATGCGGGTAGTATTCCAACCGTTGTAGGAACTATGCGATTTTGTGTGCCAAATCTCTTGGTGCCCATAATGTGACAAGTTCGTGTCTTATTAATCATATATATATATAATAAACACTATTCCCAACTATAATGATCATACACAATGGAAACTTTCGACATTACGAAGTCAGATGAAAGAGAGGTGAAAATATCCAGTTACCAGGGTGAAAAAAAGACTGATAACTGTTTCTTTCTGAACGCATAAATCAGGTTTCAGGCGCTTGATGGAGATGGCTTCAGCAAACTTGATTGGAATTGAACTCTTTTGCCTATTGATAATTTTGAACGATCTTGTGACGTCCATCATATACGCATATCTACGATTTTCTGAACATGTATAGAAAAGCTTATGTCTAAAGAGAACAAGTGCTTTAAACAGTGCCATCGCCAGGCATCTCCTTGAAACGGGTGATGAGGTGCACAATTTTTATTCTTTTACCTAGAATTCCTTGTTGCATATGTCTGTCTGTCTGGATTCGACGTAGAACTTGGCACCGAAGTGCAGCAGTTCGAGTTGCCACGTTCCAAATAGCACACAAAGGTAGACAAGAAGATGGGTGAAGAGAATCAATAGAGTTTTGACAAGTATAAGAGTGAAACAGAATGAGTAATGGTAGAAAGGAATATGGAAGATTACAGAGACTGAATACATCTGCGTAAGCCTTTGACAACGATTTTGAGCCATGTCACCTATTGTCTCCAGCCATTGATTCTTATAGTCCCTAGGGCGGGCCCCAACCCGGAAGTTTGCATCTCCCTACCTGACTCAGTTTAACTGTCAAGGATTTCATGGATTGATGAGGCCATGTTTTTGTTTGGCTACCACTTACATATATCGTTTTCTACCGGTCATTCGATCTTCAGTATCTCTAGACGGCTAAGGCAGGTTTTGTCTGAATGATCACCGAAATCGGGGCTTCATAATCTGAAGGTTTCAGCTTCAAACTATTGTGAGTGCGTACTGTTGAAAAGTTGCAAACTTGGACCGATGTCCAGTTTTCACTGATCTTTGACTGTGATATCGCTTCTCTGAAGAAATTTACATTTAGTCTTCCCATCAAACAACTAACTTTATTTTATTACATTTGTAGTTTTTTTTCTTTTGTGTTCAAGCCTTCTTTTGAACACTGATCACTACTTAGAGTAGTCGTAGTAGTACGTGCACGTTTTATGAAATGTTAGAATTAAATCGACTATGCACTTAATTATGTCCTTAATGCACTTTGTTGTGATAAATTCTATTCTCTGATCTTATCTAGTGGCCATAAATTCCAGTGCAAGTAGAGCCCATAAATATATTTTTTTTCTCTTATGTGTATACGCACACACTATTACGCTACTTTTGGCATTTATGTCAACTCGTTTTAGCTTTCCTCCGCCTTAATCTGTCTATTGAACTTGTCAGTTAGGTATTTTTTTATTATGTACTATGAACGTTCAATTTGTACCGCCAAATAGATGGCGTTGCTATGGGTTCTCCCCTTGGTTCCTTATTAGCTGACATATTTCTATCTAAATTAGAAAATGGTCCTTTAAAAGAGATACTAAACAAACTCGATTATTATTGTCGATATGTTGACGAAACCTTTATCATTTGTAACAATAATCAAGATAGACAACACCTGCTCCAAGCCTTCAATAAGGTACACCCAGCTATTAAATTCACTTGTGAAGAGGAACTCCAAGGTAGTATTCCATTTCTGGATGTTCTTCTTACAAAGAGAGCAGACGGTACCTTAAAGCGTAACATCTATAGGAAAGCGACCTGGAATGGACAATACACCCACTTCCATAGCTTCATACCTATACAATATAAGCGCAACCTAATTCGTTGTCTTAGTCATAGAATTAGGCGCATATGTACCGACGACTGCATTGAAGATGAAATAAAAAATCTCACAAACGCCTTGCTACAAAACGACTATCCTACCAACTTTGTAAAGAATAATATCTATGAAACTAAACACAAAACTAAGCGAGACACAGTAAGTAAGAAAAAGCTTTACTTAAATTTACAATTCAAAGGCGATATATCCAGTGATATATTAAACCGTAGATTAACGAGAGCAGTTGAAAGAACTTTCAGTGCCGCAAAACTGCATGTCACTTTCTCAACCAAACCGATATTGACACTGTGCACTAAAGATAGATTACCCAAAATGACGACATCAATGTGTGTATATAAATTCAACTGCTCCTGTGGAGCTAGTTATATAGGTCGTACCCAAAGGAATTTATCTTTACGCACTCGTGAACATATCCCGGTCTGGCTTGGGAAAAATGCGACCAAATCATTGAATAGTGCAATTCTGGCTTATCTAGTGGATAGCGAACACAACATCAAAGTAGAAGAGTCATTTACAGTTGTGTATCGAGTACCAAACAATCTCCCCAAAGACACACGATTACGCCTCCTAGCCATAGCTGAGGCTTTAGAGATTAATAGAGAAAGACCAGACTTATGTGTACAGAAAAAACTTATTCACTCTCTTTGTCTACCCTGGCCCACTATAAGGTCACCAGGATCATAATTTCCGTATTATTATTACCATTATTATCATTTTGTGATATCATGTCTTTATTATCCATTTCTCCACCCAGTTTATTCCACCCCATCGTTACCCTTAATTTTTGTCAACCTTTGTAATTTTATACTACGCCTATCAATTCTGTAACATTTTATTACAATTTACAATTTAGCCTCTTTATTTTATCATTGGACATTATCGGTCAGCCCTCACATTCAGTGTCCCCTTTGTTAATGTGTATTTGTATGTATTTTGTGGCTATTGCATTTCTCTCACCCCAATGACACTTGTATTCTGTTAACTATAAAACAGCACTATATTTTTTTATTCTCAAGTATTGGTTAGAAGACCTAAATAATTACATGCATAGAATGTGGTTAAATTACTCTTTTGATATAAGAAACAGGACTTATGTACTGTGGTAGAGTATAATTCCATTGTGGGTAAAATTTATTTTGATAAATTCTCACACTGTTATACAGTAATATTTACAGATGAAGTTTCGAGCCCAGTTTATCGCCCTGTAAATATCACTGTGTTACACTATGAGATTTTATCAAAATAAATTTTGCCCATAATGGAGTTATACTCTGTTGATACACCAACCTAAAACTGAGAGCTACTTTTATCACATGTGAGAGAAAGGTATCCTCTCTAACACTTTTGTGCAGTTTTTATGCATTTTTCTCATAAATACATGTATTCCATACACAAAAATGCCTCCGTCACGTGATTGGTGAGTCCGAGGTCATTTGCTGATTGGTAGGTAGTTAGTGGTGCCTGAAGTCTAACTTTGCCTATCATATTAATATTACAATACTTATAGTATAATCCTAGATTCAGGATAACCACTCAGACAGATCTCAAATGTAACCGTAGTCTCTCCTTTACGTGTATATGTGTCCCTCCAAGGGTACAGCACTGACTCAATCACACACCAAATATATGTATATATTATCAAAAGAGAATACACGCAATCGTCATCACGTGATTAAATACCGGGGAGATAGAGTGAGGGAGATAAAAACGGGGGTGGGGAAATCACACACTTTTCAGTCATATTGGCAGCTCCTCAGGTGGATTGATCGATAATATCTGATACGTTCATTTGTAAAATACTTATTATCTTGTGTGTGAGTGTGTGTAGAGAGAGAAAGCATATACCTTCGTTTACATGCACCAGATGGCGTTCAAAATAGAAGTAAAGTCAATAACCACCAATAGGAAAAGTGAAACCACATTAGCAAATAGTAGTAATAGTAGTAGTAGTAGTGGGCCTATTATCTACATTATTAGGATGATCCATATTGTTATTTTGACGAGTGAATAACACGGAAGGAAGGAAGGTAATACGCATAAATGTAAGAGTGTAACCGCTACTCAGTGCTCATATTGACACTTGGTGATGAAGTGCCAGTGAGAGATTATTCTTATTATTATTCAATTCAAGAGGTGGCTCTCGTGGCCCAGTCATGGTCTAGTGGATAACGCTTTGGCAACTGAAACTATGGGCACTGGGTTGGAGCCTCGGTGATGGGAATATCATCACTCACTGAGGAATGCAGGCACATCCAGTTAACGAGTCCCGAATAGGACGAAATGCGCATCCTCGTGGATTACACACTGCTAGTCACCATCCACCAATTAACTTCTTATTATTATCATTGATTATAAAAATTTACAATCTACATTTTCTAATGTCATTTTTATTATTTTATTACTTCATATATCCTATATTTTTAAAAAACAACAACATAGCATTACATCGTGCACCGAAAGCGCATGCCATCTATGTGAATCATGTCCTACGTCGTGGTCTCCCACTGAATTCAATGCATGCTGAACAATTACCCGAGAATGAATTACTCCCCTTAGATGCATTCAATATGCATTCAAAAATCAGTTCGAAAGGAAATACAAAAGAAGAAGATAATCAATTAGCAACTGTTCTAAAGAGTATTACACTAATTAAAAGTAATATTTATTCTGATGAATGTTTATTGAAGGTAAGTGTACTTCTTTATAATATATTGTTATTTATTACTCTTATTATTATTATTATTATTATCTTTGAGTAATTCATGCTCTAGTTGTATCTATGCGATGTGTGATGTTCATGAGAAAAACTGTAACCTGGTGTGTGTATAATTATGTTGTCTGTGTGAAAAATCTACCAATTTAAGTTATGGTGCTTTTGAGTGCTTTTTGAGTGTGACTACTTCTCAGCCTTCTTTTTCTTCTCTTTGTTCTAACTTAAACTGGTATTTGTACAGTGCTTATTTCGTTGGCTTCTCATCATCATATGAAAAAGAGAGGGGATGTTCAGCGAAGAGACTCTTTTCGACGATGAATTCATTCACATAGCTAGCTGTACAATCGCATTAATATATAATTATTTTTGTGTGTGTGTGTGTATGTACATGAGGTTTGTCAAGTTTAGATAATTAATTAGGTAATTCAAGAATGATCTAATCGATATAGAAACAAGGTTAGGTAGACAACAACTAAAATAAGATTGAGTTAGTAAGTTAGATGACGTAATATAATTGACTAAAATGTTTTAACTTAGGTCAGGACATAGCAACAGAGGTAAGTAATTACAGGTAGAGACTAAGTAGAGGTGAGGTATTTAAATTCGGACTAAAATTGAGCAAATAAATTGGATGACGTAACATAAATGACTAGAAATTGTGAGGGTTGGTCAAGTCAGTAACAGTGGTAATGAGGTGTAGAAATTAAATCGGATGAGGAGTAGAGAACAAGAAAGTTGAAAATGTAGAATGTTACAATTGAAAGAAATAGGATTTAATGAAAACAAAACACGTAGATCAGCGAAGAGTCTCTTTTCGGCGAATTCATCTTCTTAGCTGTACAATCGCAAATATATATGCATTGTTTTGTATGTATGTGTACCTTAAGTTTGTCAAACAAAGTTACAATTGGTTAAGGTTAATTTTAACTAAAATAGGATTTAACTAAATAGGATTTACCTGTCAGGTAGGTATTAATTACGATAGATTACATCCATTGCAAGTGCGGTGACTGAACGAACTTCTTCTGTACGCAGAGTTCAGGACTTAGCAAGTGAATTGCCATTGATTCTGCAGTTTGAAGAAGTCTGATTCGTACAACTTTCGGAAGACTGCTTCGTATTCTGTAGACAACTTTGAAGTTTGTTCGGAGTGTACCTTGGTGCCCGGAATCTATCAAATGCTCTAAAATAGAGTTGTGGGGCGTCGATTTCTGTGTAAAACCATGCTGGTAAGCGTTCGGTGTTCTCATCATCATCTGCTTACAGCCTAGAGATATTACTACTAAGTTTATGTACAGAAACAATATTAACATACTTATTTACCTAGGGAGAGAGAGTTCAAGTTTAAACTAAAAACAATTAATATATGTATGAATTTTACTGTCTTGTTTGTCGTCTTTCTGAGCTGTTACCCTAAATTACTACTAACCCACTTTGACTTTCATTTCCTCTTCACATGTCATATGTGATCTCCTTCTTATGTCCCATATGTATGAAGTTTAATTGGTGTGTTTTTGGTAGAAGAACTTTCACCGTACTAATTTGCGAAGTTGAGCTTTAGAGACATTGGGATGTTCAATCAGGGCAACGCGGTGAAGAAGCCAGATCAGCAGATTCTTTTGAGAACCAACATCACACTTGGGGAGATTTTGAAATAATAATAGAGAAGATTTGTTAGCTCAGATAGGGTGATTTTGATATGGTTGTGTTTTTGTGAGCTGGTTGATTCTCACTGCGAAGCTTTCATTGTGCTGCTGGACAAAATCGTCCCAGGGCAACCTTCAATATGAAGTGAATTTATTAGAATTCCTTATGAATGATGCATAAATTGTATCTCCTGACAACCTTGGTCGTGGTTAGTTGTTACTGTGCATCAGTGTTGACCGTTTTTTATTGTCATGTAGCTTATTTTTTATTAACTTGAAGTAAATTGTGCGTCGGTTATATAGCGGTTAGGACGCTCGCCGACCATGCACATGGTCCGGGGTTCGATCCTCGGCCGACGCACTCCTTTACCTTGCTGAGCTAGAAATAATGCTGGTAAAGAGGAGAGGTTGGACATGAGGCTAGCAATCCCATCCTGTAAAATAAATACTGCTACAGAAACTTCAAGCCACTAGCTTGAAGCCCTATGTTCCACTGGGAACGTGAAGGAAAAAAATTGGTGAATGGTGACCAGCAGTAGAATCCAGGATTTGCACTTCGTCCTATTTGGGACTCGTCAGATCGGGCCGTATCTGTATTCCCCAGTGTGACTTAGGGTGTCCCCACTACCCCTCGTTTCAAACGTCAAAAAGTTATTCACGAGAGGCACCTTTTGTGCAACGGGTATTAGTAATTGTTTAATTTAATTCGAACTTCCCCGTTGATTGGTTGAACCGAAATGGTCGGCCTCAGGTTGACATGTCGGCTCCTTGTGCAGATGGTTCGGTGATGTCTGATTATTTAACTTAAAGTAATGTGTGTGGGTGGGGCGGAAGCAGGTACATCCAGCTGACGGGTCCCAAATAAGACGGCATGCCACTGCTAGTCACTATCCACAAATTTACTTCAACTTAAATAATCAGACATTGTTGAAACGTCTGCACAAGGAGCCATCATGTCACCTGAGGCCGAGCATTTCAGTTCAATCAACCAACGGCAAGGCCAAATTGAATTAAATAGTCATTTTCTATTAGTTAGTAGATCTGATCTCTAATAATGTGTCTGTTAATTGCTCTACCATGTGGGTACCAGGTTTATAGAAATTCTCTAGCGTTTCTCTGATGTTTCCACCATTTTTCTGCATTTCTACATTTCCCCAATCAAATTAGTGTTCATAATTGTCTACATTTATGGATAAGAAAGAATACTTATTAGGTCTTTTCATAGCTAATTTATGTTCTAGGATTCTGGGTCAAAGGGGACGCCCAGTTTAACCAATTTTAGTGTTTGTCATAGTCTATGCAATTTATTTCGTCGATAATATTGATCTTGTGTTCTGTTGCTTTTGGATGGTTGAAAACCAGACGCTGGTCATCTGTTTCGTCCTACTTTGGGACTCTTCATCCGTGTGCAGCCATGGCCCCACTAGAATTTATACCTGCAACCTTCAGGTCACTAGATCAAGCATTTTAAACTTTCAATCACTTGGATTGCGATTCTATCACCTCTGAACTCTAACTTTATCAATTTGGGATATATTGATGCTGTCAAGCAATGCCTTTGATGAACACCCACCCACTTTTAGACATCCATCCAGCAACCATGAATGATTGCAGGATTTCATCATGAGCTGACATTGGTTAGAGAACCATTGGAAAACCAACAGGAAGTACTGGACAGCCAGCTGTTTCGTCCTAGTTTGGGACTCTTCGTCAGTACGTACCCACCAGAAAGGTTCACAACCACGACTTTCAGGTTACAAGGCAAGCTCGTATACCATTAAGCCACTAGGATCTGATCCAATGGCCAGCCCGTGAATTCTAACTTCTGCCAATTCACGACATAGCGCAACCCCTAACCAATGTCTTCGGCGAGTATTAGTCCTCACACCCGACCTGCTACACCCTACCGGTCACGACTTCTCACTAGAACCCCAGGTAACTAACTACCTGAATAGGGCCAGTCGCTAGTGACCATCTCATCGATATTCAAGTGTTGGTTTTAGAACCAGAAGGTCGTGGCTTCGAACCCAGGTGGGTGCGTACTGCAGAAGAGTCCCAAACTAGGCTAACGAAACAGCTGGTTGTCCAGTATTCCCTGCTGGTTTTCCAATGGTTCTCCAACCAATGTCAGCTCATTATGAAATCCTGTAACCAATCAACCAAATCCTTACAAACAACAATACTTAAATACCCATCAATGAGTAGTTGGAGATCAATATTCCAACTATGAGATTCGTGGGTAAATGGATTTATTTCAGTTGTCGGATTTCGCCACGAACCAACATTAGTGTGTGTGAGAGAGAGAAAGATCATTGAAAACCTGGTTTTCCAAATGCCGGCAAATCACATAACCTGGGGATAGATTTGGGTTAGGGGACCAAATTTGTTTTGTTTTTCTTAGCACAATTGGTCTTTCCATTGGCATTGTTGTGTCTGCGCCTTTTGGATGTCTAAAGTTGAACTCTGCCCACTAACTCAGCTATACCCTTACGCACATAACATTGCACGTTTGATGACCTGTACTTCTATTATAATACACAGTGCAATATAGACATGCAGTTGTAGTCATGTAGTGTTGAGACTTTTCTAAATACTCCGTTGGAAATTTAGAAAATAGGGTACTGAACAGGGTGACATACTTAATTTTTCTGTTTTTTCTTTCCTTTCTTTTCCTCTCCACTTGTCTTTTTTTCCTCTTAGCTTGAAGATATAAAAACAGCGTATGAATCACTTACTGTATGCTCGTGTAAATCTTCTACCCTGGGTAATGGAGATGGTGATGATGATGACAATTTAAACAACAATGTATTATGCTCAACTAGTCATCAATGTCATCATTTCTTGAATAAATATGAATGTACATCAAAGATTTGTTCATTTCCAGAGAATGTAAACTGTGGTAATCGAAGATTTGCCCTACTGCATTCAATGACTACCGATCGACACAAGAATATATTTAGCGTTATGCGTACTGTTAATCGTGGATATGGTTTAAAGTCTTCAATGTCATTTAAAAAAGTAAGTTATACATTTATATATATATATGTATATATATATGTAATGTCTTTTTGCCAGTTAAGCGCATTTTTGATCCTCTTTACACCTCCGGATAATTTTTCAAGTTAAAATAAAAGCTGGAATTCAATATGATAATAAACTCACTCTAGGTTTGAGTCCTTATTCAACAGCTGTACGACAACGGCACATGTCAAGTGATCCACAACAGAAAACTCAGCGAGGCGTTTGGAGTGAACACAGGAGTTAGACAAGGGTGCTTATTATCCCCAACGATGATATTCCTAATTGTGGTGGACTGGATTATGCGTCAGACAGTGGGAAACGAGAAGACAGGGATATCCTAGACCGACGTGAAGAACCTAGAAGACCTGGATTTCGCGCGTGGATGATTCATGTTTGATGTCACACAAAATCGAAGACTTACAAGCGAAAACCCACAAACTGGTCGAAGAAGCAGGCAGAGAAGACAGGACTTCAGGTGAACATAGACGAGACGGAGGTTATGAAAATATCCAACCAACAACAACAACAGCATCAGCAGCAGCAACATCCAGTGCCAATCACCATCAACGGGGGGGATTTGAAAGAAGTTACTTCATTCACTTATCATCTAGGGAGCATTGTCTCAACTACAGGAGGAACGGACGACGAGGATGTCAAATCGAGAATCGGGAAGGCGAGAAACACATCAACCTGAAACCAATCTGGTAATCTTCGTCACTCTGCATCAACAACAAAATTCGGATTTTCAATACAAACGTCAAGTCAGTCAGTTCTTCTATACGGATCAGAAACTTGGCGGCGGGTCACAAAGAATATTTTCAACAGGTTTCAGACCTTTATCAACAACTGTCTTCGCTCTATACCGAAGATCAGATTGCAGGGAAGAATCACCAACAAGAAACTATGGGAACAAACAAAACATTCGCCCAACAAATATGCAGGAGAAAGTGGAGATGAATTGGACACTCGCTGAGGAGGCCGTTGGGTGACACCGCTCGTCAGGCCAGTGCTCGAGTGGAACCCGAAAGGGAATCGGCGAGTGAGACGTCCAAGGGTGACATGGAGGAGATCCTGTGAAGAGGATTTGAAACAGTATGGATTAATATGGATGCAGGTGAAAAGTACAGCAGAAGACAGAAGCAAGTGGAGGCGTGCAGTTGAATCCCTATGTTCCACTAGGAACCCAAGGGAACAATAATAATAATAGGTTCGAGTCCCATCATTAGCTGGTGGTGGTATACTGTGTAGGGCCACCAACAACAAGTTAGCTTTAAGATCCAGGTACTCGCTGATGATGATTACATTGAATGACATTGGTGCTATGTCACAAAGTGTAACAGAAGTTACAGTGTGTGAGTCATTTAACTCCAAGCCAATAAGTACTTCAACAGTCAGTTTACCAAGCTGATAACTTGAAGGTCCTGAATTCTATGCCTTATGGGATTGATCTCACACTAAAGTAGAGAATGTTGTTCAGTACTTCCTGGTTTTCAGTGATTCTCTAAGTGATCTTAATATGTTAACTTGACTAACAACAGAACAAACACACTGCAAAATAGAGACAGTAAACAGAGATATAAGGCAAAAAGAATAGTAATATCGATGAACAATATAGCCTTAATGGATATTATAAGTCACAAGTAGTGGATGCATCTGCACGAGCCAACCATTGAGAACGATCGCTTTGAGCCGTATCACCAATTGTCTCCAACCTTCATCGGTTTTTACCGTTCCGAGGATCCCAACCAGGAAGTCTACACCTTCCTACGTGGCTTATACTAACTGTTGTGGATTTCATTGACTGATGAGGCCATGTTTTATTTTGACTATCACTGTCTCTTTTTTAACTCATCAGTCCCATGCGTAACACATGTCCTAACCATCTCAATCGATGTAACTTCACAGCCTTGTCGATTGATTTCCTCTCCTTACCTAGCACTCGGCCGAAGCCTAACGTCAATATTGCTCACTCTATTGTGCCACGTAACACGGGAGATAGAACACAGACACCTATGATCAAAGACAGCTAGTCAGCCTTTTCATGTCTACTACTTCTAGTGGCCATGTTTCACTCACAACTATAAAGGAGGGCGGAGCAGACTGTTGAGCAGTGCACATGCCCTTTTGTTGACAGCCAGTCGGATATCACCTCTACGCCAAAGATGGCGTAAACTGGCATATGCGAAACGAGCCTTCAGTATGCATGATGAAATTTAGTCAGCGCTCGACCAGTCGGCTCTGGCTAATGCAATTTCCCAAATAAGTGAAGTGGTCAACATGCTGCACCAACCAATTCACTCCCTATTTCTACTCTAGGAATGAGTCAATGTAGTCCAGTCCTGTAGCATCATCTTACATTTGACAGCAGGAGCGAATCGCATGCCAAACATTCGAAGATTGCTGCTCAGCTCAAGGTGTTCAGAAGACTCTGCTCAGTTTTGTCAGCGTTTTCACCTAGAAGGACTATATCATCGGTATATTCTAAGTCAACGAGCCGTAAGCTCTCACCTGGCTGGCTGCATGAGTTTGAGTAGAGTGGGAGTGCCTTGATCAGTGCGATGTATTTTCTCGGAATTCCCTTTACACCCAAGCATCGTCATAGTATCTCTCGGTCGCCGGAATCGAAACCCCGCCCTGAAACAAAGGAGAGAAACAGACTCAGAAGAACTATACTGAGTGGAAATATACGGGAGGAACAAAGAATAGTAACGTAGAAAAAGCATGAGGACTTAAAAGATATGCGAGCTCCACAAATGAGTAAATGTTTTTGCGCCATTGACAACCACTCTGAACTGTTACCAACTGTCTCCAGACATTAGTTCTAAGCGTCCTCAAGACAGACAGTCTATGCCTTCCTAAATGCATCATGTCAACGGTCAAAGACTTCATGTACTAATCGTGTATCTTGGTTTAACCAACTTGATTCGTGTGTCAGCTATCCTTTTGGACATTGTTTTCACTAGCTTATCAAGAATTTCGTTTAAATGGTTTGAAGTATCCGCATAAAAAATTGTTCTTTACTAGGCATTGATTTATTTAATATAATTTAATTGAACACTTTTTCTCTCTCACTCTTTCCTTCTTCCCTCTTAAAAGGGTGATTTAGTTATCGAGTATACCGGTGAAGTCATTGATGTATCCGAAGCGAATCGTCGAATTTTAGACGCTCTCGGTGGACACAACGCCTTGTCCAGTATAACTTCATCACGTAAAGATTTTCATCCAGTCAGTGAAACTTACCTAGCACGGTTTAGTCCACGTATGGATTTAATTCTAGACGCTAAAAATCAAGGCAGTTTAAGCAGATTTATTAATCATGCATGTGAACCAAATTTACATGCTGAATGTTGGATAGTTGATGGACATCCACGACTTGGTAAGTGGTCTTTTCCATTAACCTTCCTTTTCTTTGAGTCGGACGTAGGACTCCACGCTTTTAATTTTCAGTAGAGCTGAGGGTATTGTTTGTGGTTTGCATGGGGTGGTGGTGGGGAGGTTACTAGCCCCTCACACGCTCCTTTTTAGCCTTCCCCCTTTTCTTCGCTTACTTATGGACTAGGCGAGATTTGGGATTTCAACACAATAACGAAAGCAGATAAGAAGTGGTAAAAAAATTTCGACTTGATATGATATTTTAAAGATGTGAATAAGATCACTGAGGGGTATAGAAATAAAATTACGCGGGATTAGAAAAGTAACTGTAATTGTGGTGCATGTGCAGATTGATAGGTGTCGGCCAAAACTGAAACACTAACCTTTTAAGTCATTAGCTGCACAGGGATAGGCGTGTTTATTCCTCAAGTCTGGATGTTTAGTTTACGTTGTAGTCGTGGCGTAATCTCATTGGTCAACTTTGTTTAACCTTGGGCAAATCGTTTTAGCCAATCAGAAAAATGTATTGCATTGAAAAGCTGGAGCTATGTATTCAAAAGAAACTATTACAACCTCTACACCTATTATGGATCTAGTTAGTTCTGTTTAATTTATTAGTTTCCGTGTGTTTATTTTTTTCCATCTTCGGTTATAAAAAACTATTATTATTTCGATTTGTTTTCATGCTCATCCCGTCGACACCTGTTCTTTGTTAAATACTTTTTTGCATACTATGCAGTTATTTTCTAATCCCATGTAATTTTGTTTCTCTTAACCCCTGCTGATCTGATCTACTTGCACACCTTCAAACTTTTATATCAAGTTGAAATTCACTATCACCTTTAATCTGCATTCGTTATTATGCGGAATTAAATAATCATTATAACTATGTGAAGTTATGTATGAAAAAAGCGGTTATACTGCTGCTTTTCAGGATGGAATCTCCGTAACGACATCTTTGCTAAGCGTGTCTTGTTCTTTTCTCCCTAATGTTTTGTTGGGTATCTCTCACGGCTTAGGATTTCGTCGGTGGAAGACGCCGCCCGGACTTCCAGTGTATGTTTCATCTGATAAAAGTTGAAATTTTAAAAACAAAATCCCTTAGTCACACTACTGGACTGTTGTCTGGACTTAGTTATCCGGAATAGGTTTTGTCATGTACACGAGGCTATAGATCAGACCTTGGGTAAGTGTTGAGTGGGATTCGAATCAGAAACCAAGCTGGTTGTGAAAGCCCGAGTGCTTTAGACAGTGTATTAGCTAATAATGATTACTATCATAGCAGCTTTACTCTGAACAGAGTTTATATAAAATGTACAGGATTTTCGCCGGAGTTTATTGCATGATACTCTCTCTCTTCGTTCAGGATCTTCAAATAAACGATTGATTGACAGTAGATCGTGTGATACAGCTGTAGCTGTATCCAATCCACCAATATGATATCTCTTCTTTGTCTCCTTTAAGAAATACACGACTACATTTTCATTAAATACCAATTATAGAAGGTTAAGGAGTACATTTTGTGAACCAAGGGCACACCACTCAAGAACGGTCATCTCATGTATTGGGATATAAGCTGCCATTGAAGATATTACTTGTTCACATGTTTAATAGAAACTTGCGAATCAGCAGGTTTTCTGTCTGTCTGTCTGTTTTCGACATAGAACTTCGCATCGATGTGCAGCATGTAGCACACAAAGCAAGAGAAAAAAAGTAGAAGAAATGCATAATAAAGACAGTAAACAGAGATATGAGGCAAAAAGAATAGTAATATAGAAGAACCATATAGCCTTAATGGATATTATAAGTCACAAGGAGTGGATGCATCTGCACCAGCCAGCCATTGAGAACGATCGCTTTGAGCCATATCACCGATTGTCTCCAGCCTTCATTGGTTTTTACCATCCCGAGGACCCCAACCAGTCTACACCTTCCTACGTGACTGGCTTAAACTAACTATTATGGATTTCATTGACTGATGAATGCATGTTTTGGTCTGACCACCACTACTCTCTCTTTTGCAACCTGACCCTATGTCAGCTAACATCGCCCATCGTCGAGGAAGGCGATGGCTAGGCGTGCATGCGTAACACATGTCCTAACCATCTCAGTCGATGTAGCTTCACAGCCTCGTCGATTGATTTCCCCCTCCTTACCTAGCACCCAGCAGATTGTAAATGTTTTAAATACTCGCCAGAGTAAACAATACTATTAAAGGTCATATTTTACCAGATTTAAACAAACTGAATACGAGAAATTTTGTATGCAGTAGAGTGATTGATAAAGGAGGTTTTTGATAGTTCAAGTACTATTAAGCAAGCCACTGAGCTATGTCTCGTCACCACTGCCGACTTTTTTTATCTGTCGGTTTCTTTTTTTGCCTTAAATCCAGTCATTATCCACCCCACCCCGCCTCTCTCATATCTCTCTCACACACAATGTTCTTTATTTCATTCTTTATAAATTTTAGGACTTTTCGCCAATCGATCTATCAAAGCTAATGAAGAGTTGACAATCAACTACATTACTAATCAATTCCTGTCAACTGGTCTAATGGCTTTCACTAGTTTATGTTTATGCGGTGCAGACACTTGTGTCAGTACACCGCGTTTACCAACTTCATTTAAATTATCCAGTGAAGAAACAGTCAATCATGAGGATGATAATTATGCCGGTGACAATTCTCTGACTGCTGCTGCTACCGCTGTTGTTGTCCCACGAACACCCGTATCACCGGATAAAAGAAAATCTATCAAAAAAATTGATGATGATGAAGCAGATTCTTCTTTTACTTCAACAAAATATGATGAAGCATCACCAGCAGTACTGACAGGCACTCCACTCATATCAGCAGCTGTCTCATTGTCTACACGTCGTTCACGTTCACATGGTGGTAGTCGTCGTTATCTAGCTCAAATAAAACCTGCAGGTATGGCTGCCTGTGTTGCTGCAACATCTGTGAATAGAAAGAATGCTGATGAACAAAGTTATCTGGTTGGTCTTGGTCCACCACTTTCTGAAGATTTTTGTTACAGGTAAAAAAAGGGAAAAAAACAACACAATTGTGATGAATGTATACATTATTTTTTTGCTTGATTTTTTTTACGGCTCTTTTACAACTTTCCCATGTAACAACAGAAGGCAAAAGTCAGGCAACAGATCATCTATACGTTAACTGTATCCGCCTACGCAAAGCCTTTGTTCTCATTTTCCTCACGACCAATATTGGGGACATAAACATTGACGTAAATTATTATTTTATTGTCCCCTTGGGTTCCTAGTGGAACATAGGGCTTCAACTGCACGTCTCCACTTGTTCCTCTCTTCTGCTGTACTTTTCCCTTGCATCCATATTAGTCCATACTGTTTCAACTCCTCTTCACACGATCTCCTCCATGTCACCCTTGCGCTGACGTCCCACTCGCCACTTCCCTTTGGGGTTCCACTCGAGCTATGGCCTGACGCACGATGTCACCCAGCGGCGGCCTCCTCAGCGAGTGTCCAATCCATCTCCACTTTCTCCTGCATGTTTGTTCAGCGATTGATTCTTGTTTTGTTTGTTCCCATAGCTTCTTATTGGTGACTCTTTCCGGCCATCTGATCTTGAGTATAGAACGAAGACAGTTGTTGATGAAGGTCTGCAACAGGCTGTTGGAAATATTCTTTGTGACCCGCCACATTTCTGATCCGTATAGCAAAACTGACATGACGTTTGTATTGAAAATCCGAATTTTGTTGTTGATGCAGGCTGAGTGACGAAGATTTCTAGATTGGTTTCAGGTGGATGAATGTATTTCTCGCCTTCCCGATTCTCGATTTGACATCCTCGTCCGTTCTTCCTGTAGTTGAGATAATGTTCCCTAGATAAGTGAAAGAAGTAACGTCTTTCAAATCTCTCCCGTTGATGGTGATTGGCGCTGGATGTTGCTGATGCTGTTGTTGTTGTTGGTTGGTTATTTTCATAACCTCCGTCTCGTCTATGTTCACCTGTAGTCCTGTCTTCTCTGGCTGCTTCTTCGACCAGTTTGTCGGTTTTCGCTTGTAAGTCTTCGATTTTGTGTGACATCAAACATAAATCATCCACGCGCGAAATCCAGGTCTTCTAGATTCTTCACGTCGGTCCAGGACGTAAATTGCCGTCCACCAATTTTGGCTAACAGCCCGCTCTCACCACACACATACTGAGTGAGGAAGACGGTTGAGTTAAATGCCACACTTGACAGGCGTTCGAATATAACGCCGATATGAAACAACAAGTTGGGCGTCCGAAGTTTACATGGAGGAGATAAGGGAGAGACAGAGGCGGTCTATGGTTAGTTGTCGAGCCGCCCAAAGGCAACTACGGAACAGGATAAAATGAAGATGTGCTGTTGGAGCCTTATGTGTCCCCCTTTGAATCTAAGTGATCAATAATAATAGTAGCAGTATGTCGACTGTAGGTAATATCTAGCAAGTACTCTAAAACGTATGCTCTTTAGTTTTTTGTCTCTCACCTGTATGCTATATAGTATTGATGTCTTATGATGAGTGCACTGGATACAGAACTCCGCCAGCACGCAACAAACTGGATTCAGGAAAGGCAAATCATGTGCTGATCAAATTGTGACTCTATACATCGTCATCACAGTCAAACCCCCTCCCTACATTAACTTCATCGACTACCAAAAGACTTTCGACAGACAGTGTTGACCGAGAATTGATTTTGGTAACTACTTCAACACTATGGCGTGCAATACCCAAGTCTTTATCAACCTCATTCAACAGATATATGTCAGTGGCACGTGTCAGGTGATCCACGACGGGAAACTCAGCGAGGCGTTCGAAGTACATACAGGAGTAAGACAAGCTGACTGCCTATTATCACCGATGATATTCTTAATTTTGGTAGATTAGATTATGAGTTAGACTGTGAGAGGAGTCAGGAGACAGGAATACTCTAGACGGACCGATAAGAAGACTCTAGAAGATCTAGATTTCACAAACGATATATGTCTAACGTCGCACGAACTCAAAGACTTACAGGCGAAAAACCAACAAACTGGCTGAAGAAGTAGCAAAGACAGGATTCCAAGTGAATAAAGAGAAGGTGGAGTTGATGAAGATCATCAACGAACGGCGTACTTTAATTGAATTTTAGATTTTCCTGTCGATTGATTAGACCGAAGTGCTCGATCTGAGGTCGGCATGTCGGCTTCTTGTGCGGATGCTTCGATGATGTCTGGGCATATAATTAGAAGTTAATTAGTGGATGGTGACTAGCAGTGGAATCCAACTGACGAGTCCCAAATAGGACGAGATGCGCATCCTGGATTCCACTGCTAGTCAGCATCCACCAATTAAATTGTAATTATCTGACGTGTTTTTTAAATTTTTATTCCTTCACATTCCCAGCGGAACATAGAGCTTCAAGCTAAGAGCTTGAAGTTTCGGTAGCAGTGGTGTTTATTTTTTACAGGATGGGGTTGTTGGCCTCATGCCCAGCCTTACCTCTTTACCAGTCTTAATACTTAGCGAGATAAAGGAGTGCATCGGCGGGGACCGAACCCCCGACCACATGCGTGGTCGGCGAATATTCTACTACTGTGCCACCGACGCACATGACGTACTCTGCTACATCAAAACTTATTTTATGTCGCGAATTGGCAGAAGTTCGAATTCATAGGTTGGCTGGTCCCAGTCGCTTATTGGTCTAAGAGCTCGTTAGCCTTGTAACCACAAGGTTGTGGGCTCGAACTCTGGAGGTGGATGCGTGCTGATGAGGAGTCCCAAACCGGAAGGACGAAACAGCTGGCTGTCCAGTACTCCTTGATGGTTTTCTAATGATTCTCTCTAACCAATGTCAGCTCATGATGAAATCCTGTAACCAAATCAATCAATCAAATCGCTACAAACCAGTACTTGCAACAACAACAAAAAACACAATTAACTTTTTCTTAATTTCTCTTTTTTTTTACTCTTTATAGATGTGGAGATGGTGGCCAGTTAGTATTATGCGATAAATCCAACTGCTCAAAAGCTTATCATGTACGCTGTCTTGGTTTATCCATTCCACCATTAGGTATATGGTATTGTCCATGGCATTATTGTGATGTCTGCGGTAAACCATCAACACATTTATGCTGGCGTTGTCCTAATTCATATTGTTTAAAACATGC